GGAGTAGTAAAAACACCCAATGTGACTTGTGTCCTTGTAATGAGGGGAGATTTGGACGCAGTTACAGAGTGAGAATGCCATGCAGATGAAGACAGATCAGAGTGATGCAGAAGTCAGGGAAAGCCCGAGATTGCCAGCAAAGCCCCGGGAGCAGGAGAAAGGCTTGCAACAGGGTCTCCCTTACGGCCCTCAGTAGGAACCAACCCTGTCAGTCACCCCGACTCTGCATGTCCAGCTTCCAGAACTGAGGCATAAACTTCTGTTGTTGAAGCCACCCAATTTGTGGCACTACGTTAGCCTTAGAAGACTAATACAAATGTCCAAATGCCACTTCTCTTGTCCTCTCATCTCTGCAATTCAGGGTAAGTGAACTTTGGGATAAACTTGAGCCCGTGAAGAGGAAACTGCCAGAAGACCTCATTCCTTGATCCATTTAAAATTAAAATGATCATTTTCTCAAAAAGTTCCATAAAGGTGATTTGTTTGCTATTTCAAGCACAAGAAAAAGGAGGTAATTTTTGTTAGGAAGACCTTTAATGTCTCTGAAATTATACCAGATAGGTTGTTTCACCTCCTTTTCTTGATACCCTTGTATCCAAGAAGATGTCTTCAGTTATTCCAGAATGTACAGAGAGTTAACATTTAGTTGCTTTTCTGAAGAACCTGATTTAGCCTACCTGTATTAGAATTGGCACTTGATTATTCTGATATAATCATTTGCATGATTTTTAGTGCCATAATTGTTGAAAGCTGATATTAAGATCTTAAAAGTGGCATAGTTTATTCAGAGATGCTTAGTGCCTTATAATAACAACCATATTGGGTATATTATGCAGTAATAATGGAAATTGCATTTGCAAAATAGTGGTGGTAATAGAACATTGTGAAATGCAAGAAATGGAAAGAGCACACTGGAAGGAAAATCATGTTTTATTCACAGCATTTTGGCTGTCTGTGTTCTCAGGCAGGAAGGCAGCAAAAAGCTTATGTGCTATTCCTCTGTGCCACAGCCCTCTGGGCCCATGACTTAGATCAACCTATACAATTCTGATTGCAGTGCAGAATTTTCAGTTACTCGAATTAAGAGGGAGTGAGGGTGTTGTCATGTCTGAAGATACTTCTTCTCTTTAATTAGCATTTTGGTTAATCAAAACTAGCTTTCCAAAGAATACAAGTTTGTTATGCTTTAGCCTAATTTGGTTCTTTTCCAGTTGCTCATAACTTCTGGTTGATAGCTTATTTAAAAATGTGTGTCCCCTGTATTTTATCAATATAGTTTTTAGGTCAGTTTTAGACTCATTACCCTATCCTTTTAATACTTTCATTTATTGATCACATTCAACATATGCTAACTCACAGAAAACCATTGTAAAAATATATCTGTGAGGAACCTTGGGAATTCTCAACTATGTGTGAATATTTTCTGTACCAATTAGAAAATTTTATGAGATTTTGAATAAATATTCTTTTTAGCAGCTTCATTACCCTTATTCAGGCATATTCTGATTAAAAAACTTCAAAGACTAAACAAAGACATGGAAGTGCCAGCGCAGGAAAGATGGAAAAAGAGTGAATTCTTTTGTGCCCAACTCACAGGAATTATTTTAGCTATTTGTAAGCCACACAGAACCTGCCTTTGCTTCAGAAAATGAAGTGTTTTTTTTTTTTTTTAATTTCTTCTCTTTGATTTTGAAACCATTGCGGTGACAAACTGGTTTGAAGCTATTTAGCCCTTATTAAGGCCTCCTGGTGTTCTTAGGCTTGTTACTAGCACTTCCTCGAAGGGGAGGAGGTATGACCCCAGGAACTGTAAGAACATCACCCTGAGGGTCTCTGTGGCCCAGACAAAGAGCAATTTCTTGGAGCAATTATGTTTAAATTCTGTGCATTTCCCTCCACCCGGCTGTGAAATCACTGGAAAAATGTTTATGTTTCCTTGAGAATCTCGTCTGAGAAACTTAGCAAAAAGGCATGTGCTAAGAGAGAAAAGAGGCTGGTTTGGGCCTGGTGGGGCTTCTGTATCCTTCTAATCAGGTAGAGATTCCATTTTCATGGGCAGGGTACTGGTGACTTCAGTCAGCACCTGTTACTCTTCCTTATGTGTGGTCACATTATCCCCTTAAACTCCCCCTCCATTTCTTGGCAGCAAAGTCATTTTTAACAAATCTTTTCTACCAATAGCCATATACTGAGGTATGTGGGAAAAATTTTTTTAAACTGCCAAGTGCTTTACACATGTGAAATGCTGAGGTTGATAACAATACTACTGATCCTTATTCACTCGCCAAATAAAAAGTATTTTCCAAACTAAAAGGCTTTAAACTCTGAGTGTCCATTTTTCCAGTTGTGTTTTAGGGGTAGTCAGCATTGTGCAGTGGTTAAGAACCTGGGCTTTGAAGACAGCCTCAGAACAAATTTCACCACTGTCTCTCTAGCTGTGGCTGGGGATGGGTGACCCTCTGCATTTGGTTCCTAAGCTGTAAGCAGGATACTAACAGAATCACCCCTGTAGAAGTGGGAGAGGATGAAATAGATAGTGCAAGAGGAAGCACATAGCACAGTGCCAGGCATATGTAAGCACTCAGTAAGTAATTAGCTTTCTTGCTTGCTGGAGATATTTGGACTTCTGATATTCTAATGGACTTTGTACCAAGTCAGCAAAAAGGAGCGTATTCTCATAACTTGATTAATCTTAAAATCTCTCCTACTCTTCATCCTGTATTCCATCTTATCCAAATGTAAACTTGTAGTTATTAAATGAGCAGAGACTGTTCTTAAGTGTGTTGTGCTGGTATATATTATTTAAGATATCTTGGAGTAAGAATAAAACACTACTACTATAATAATAGCAGTAGTAGAAGTAGCAACAATATTTTTGCAAGTCCAATATTCAAATTCTTAAGAACTCTTTCCCTGGTTTCCAGTGCTGATGAAATTGGAGGGGATAAGGTTTGTGAGGTGGTCCTGGCAGGCAGTGTCCTTGCTGTGAAACACCTCTCTCTCTCTCTCCCTCTCTCTCTCTCTCTCTCTCTCTCTCTCTCTCTCGCTCTTTTTCTCTCTCTCTTGCATTCCCCTAATAATAAGAGATGATGAACATCTTTTCATGTACCTGTTGGTCATCTGTATGTCTTCTTTGATGAAGTGTCTATTCAGATTCTCTGCCCACTTTTTAAATGAAATATCCCTAAATATTGTTCAAGGATTATCTAATGTTTCCAATACGAATGTATCAAAATATTTAACCATTTCCTCAATTATTATTTCATTTAAATTATTATTAGCCACTGCTTTCCCCCCGCTCCCATCATCCCTTTTACCCTGTCCCCACAATCCTGCCATCTTAACCTTAGGCCCTTCTCAGGATGTTTTTTGATGTTCACTGCTTTTTGAAAGTGTTTTATGTTATTGGATTGTTTGCTATGTAAATGTCCAGTATTTGCTTTTAGCATTATGTTGTAGTTTGCTGCACATAAGTCTCTGAAGTCCCTCCATTTTGTTGAAAATGAGTGCATTTCATCCTTTCTTGTGGCTCTGTAGTACTCATGTTGTATATATACCATATTGAATTGATCCAGTTGTCCATGGTTAGACATTTAGGCTGCTTCCATGTCCTAGTTATTATAAATAATGCTGCTGTGGATTTTGTGAAACATATGGAGTTTGTTGTTGATGTTTTCATGGTTTGTGGTTATATGCCGAAGAATGGGATTGTAGGTCATACGGTATTTCCATTTGAAGGTGAATCTGCATTACTTTCCAAAATGGTCTAATGTGTTCACTTTCCCACAAGAGTATAATAGGATTCCTTTTTCTTTGAATCTTCTCTACCACTTGTTGTTGGGGGGGGCTTTTTATTATGTGCCAGTCTCAAGGGTATGAGGTGTTATCTTATTGTTATTTTAATCTATATATCTTATTGAAAGTGATGGTGAACATTTTTTCATGTCTTTTGGCTTTCTGGATATCCTCTTTGGTGAATTGTCTGTTTATATCTGCTGCCCATGATTAATTTTTTTTCGTTGTTGAATTGTATGAGTTTTTTTCTATATCTTGGATATCAGTCCCTTATCAGTTGTATATTGTGACAATATTTTCTTCCACTCAATAGGGTGTCTATTTAATCATTTTATATTTTCTTTCCTTTTATTGCAGCTTTCTAACTTGTGGTAATGCCAATTATTTGTTTTTAATTCCTTTGCCATAGCCGTTGAGTCACCAGAACTATCTATTGTTGATTCATCATAGTGCCACTGTTTTTTTTTTTCTATGTATCTTATTGTTGCAGGATTATGTCTAAATCTTTAATCTATTTGGAGTTTATTTTCATGTATGGCATTAGTGAATAATCCAACTTCATTCTTTGGTGTGGCTTTCTAATTTTCCCAGAACCATTTATTAAAGAGACTGCCTTTCCCCTATTTTGTAGTCATGGATGTATTATTGTGGATTAGGTGCTGGTAAGTACTGGATTTATTTCTGGGCTTTTGATTCTATTTTAGTGGCCCAATGTATTTTTCTGCCAATTCCATGCTATTTGTTTTTATTGTTGCTTTATAAATAAAGTTTAAAGTCAGGTAACGGGATTCCTCCATTTATCTCCTGTTTTCTCAGGGGTGCCTCTGCAAGTCTGTAGGTCACCATTCTCCTCAGACTTGGCTGGGCTCCTCAGATTGGAGTGCAGGTTGCTGGAGAGGGGCTGTGGCCTTAGAGCTCCTTACCACACTCTCTTCAGCAACTCCTTGCTGGCATCCATTCCCACTGGGCAGCAAGCAAGAGTGCTTGTTTTGATTTTGCTTGGCATTTCCTTATTTGTATGTTAAATTTGGTGCAAAGTGAGATTAGACATTTTGTGTCATAAATGGCCATTTGAAAAATGACCCTAACACTAAAACTTAGAGAATTCAGTTTTCTTGGGAGGCAGTTATACATGATGCTCTTGATATCAGAATGGTACTTTCAACAGCCTTTAAATCTGCTAATCTCATTTAATTTTCTAACAGATTGATGTTCTCAAAGCAGATCTGGAAAGTGCAGAGTGGAAAGTTTTAGAAAACCTTATTCTGGAAGATGTCCTTGAACAGATTGGACAGCTCATCTTTGACGTTCATCTCCACTGGCCTGGGTTCGAGGTCAGTGGCAATGACAGCAGTGTAGTGCGGTTCTGGTACAGCCTCCTCAAAGAGTTAGAACTAAAGGATTTCAAACTTTTTCACAGTTACAAAGATTTATCTAAACCTCAGCTTTTCCTGAAGAAAGACCTTTTCAATGCAAGTAGCTGTTATACTCTGAGTTGGGTGAATACAAGATGGAAATAGGCTGCAGGACCTCATCAAGAACTCAAGGAAATACTGCAGAATGAAATGTGACCATGATTCCAATTATGTTTACCTGTCCATCCCCTACTACCCCTGCTGGAGGTGGGGATGGTGTTACTACTTTGTGAGACATGTAGACTGGTGCCTGCCATGTGGTAGGGGCCAGTTAACACTTTTTGAAGGGATGGACACAGGAATGTGGCAGGTGTCAACCTCTGCTGCAGCCCAGGCGCTCTGCCTGGTGGCCTCAGACAGTGAGGATGATTATCTTCCTTCTCTTTACTCCCATGCTTACCCGTTTTTCCTAAATTTCATTATGCTTCTGTAATCCAGGAACTCATCAACATTAAAAAAAAATTCTATATTTTTTCCATTGCTCCTGGGTTGATGAGAGTCTTAAGTTCGTAGGCTGCTGTTTAAATTAGGGCCTTTTGTTTGACTTTAACTCACCTCTTTCAAGGTTTTCTCCTTGGCCTTTTCAATAACATTCTTGACAACCTTGTAGGTTTCAGCAATTCCTTCTCAACCTTTGCTGAGGTCATGCTCTGATGCTGTGGCTTTATTCAGGGAATTCAAATTCTGTTACTGAGTTTAAAATATTAGACAATGAGAAACTTCTTATGAAAAGAAAAGATTCTTTTCATATTCAGTCCTGCATTGCCTTCTGTTCCTATAAAACTAAGCATAAAGCAGATTTTTGGTGTCTTTGTTGTTGCCTCTCTAAACTTCAACCTGATTTATCCACCACACAATTGCCAATGCTGTTATTTTTTTTTAATTTAAAATGCATTATTTTGAAGATTGAGTTTTTCTTTACTGACAGCTGGCATTCCCTGTAAGTTTGGCCTGAGGGCCAGAGATCATCTGTCTTCCTTGATATGGTTAGTAGCAATCCTTTTTACATTTAATTAAAATTAAGCAGAAGATGCAGGTTCTCAATAGTTCAAATAATCAATATTTGCTTTCGATGTCAATAGGTACTTTGAAAATAAAAAAGGTCTATAAAAACCATAAAGTGGTTTACATTGCATGGTGAAGTCGCCAAAACAAAGTAAACCTCAGACCAGTTCCTGTGTAGATTATATCACAGATTTTCTCTTACTTTTTAATGAAAATTGTAACATTGAAATATATACAATAAATCTTTGTATGCATTAAACCTTTTAAATCTCCTTATGCACTAAAGTACAAAGCATATTAATTTTAAGTATTCTATTTGATTAGTTTTTAAATATACACATACCCATATCAAGATTTTAACTCATGGAACTGAAGACTGATGGTCTTACTGAAAGTCTCCTTTGTACAGGACAAGTTACCATTTACTCCAGATTGTTGATGCAGAACATTTCATTTAATCATTTTATACACACACACACACACACACACACACACACATCTTTGAAGCAGAAATGGGTGTACTGTCAAAAAAAAAAGACAAACTCAAAATAATCACCAACGCACCCACCCACATCCACCTACTAAGCAGCCTGTTCAATAGCTGTTTGTACTTATTTTTGCTTATTTCTGAGACTGTCCTTTACCCCTTTCATGGATAGCTTGAAATTTGTGATGAATATTCTGACTGTTGCTATGGTTTCCCTGTCTCTAGAATTTATTATGCTTATTGTATCTGCAGGGTTTCTTAACTTCAGCCCGGTGGCCATTTTAAGCTGGATAATTCTTCATTTGATGAGGGAGGGATGTTCTGGGCACTGTAGGATGATTAGCCACACCTCTGGCCAGGTTTATCTTCTTCACTCCCTCCTCAGTTGTGACTACCAGATGTCCCCACATGTCTCCAGTGTCCATTGAGGGGAAGTCATCTGCTGTGGAGAACTTCCGGTGTAGGCATGAGAAAGAACTTAGGCTCCTATCACTGCGGGAGTTGGGGAGATGCTGCTTGTGAAGAACAGATGAAACAACCACCATCACCACTGTAACCACCACAAAAGCAACACAAATATATAAAACAAACAGGATCAAGAAGAGCTGCTATTTATTGAGAGCTTAGTTTGTGCCAAGCACTGTGCATAGATTATTCCTAATTCTCCCAAATTCCACACAAAAGAGTAATTTCTCCAATGATACAGGTAAGGAAACTCTGAAAGTTAAATAGTTTGATCACATTATTCAACTAACAAATGGTGGAGCAGGAATCCCATGTTGGTCCCCTCCACAGTGCTGTCTCAGTAGCCTCTAACAATGGAAGATGCTCATCTGAAGGACATATTTTTGCCTCTATTTTAGGAAATAGGGGAAAAACTACAAATATCCTTAGGCCAGACCTGCAAAGAGTTGAGGTCATCACTTTGTAGCATGCTGGGTGAACGTAAACAAAGTACTTATTAAAAATGCCAGTAATCAGAGTCTCACTGAAGACATACGGGTTCCTAACAACTGCTTAGTATATCCAGGTTGCCAAAAAAATACTCTTACAAGGTCTGGAAATGACATTGGCTTTAGTTCATCCCAACACTTGGCACTCTCCTGCTGGGTTTTAGAAAGGCAGTCCCTTGGAGCTGTACTGTGAGTCTCCTTTGATTCAAACTAGTCTTTGACATGCAGATAAATGAGCTCAGATGTGATTGCTTGTGACATAGAGTCTCTTAATTAACTTACCAGAGGAGTGTTCATAAATGATACTGAAATTACAAATTTAATAATGTTCTTATCAACTCTCCTTTTCTTAAGGTGAAGAATATATGAGAATAAATTTGAGAGGTACCCTTTCAGCAGGAATGGTGTCACAATTTGAGATTAAAGTCAAAGAAAAACAATTTTCCCTTTCCATTTTCTTAGAATGACTGTATTTGATGTAGTTATAATAGGTTATCATATAAATATTTGTTACTATTTATCATGTCTAAATGAAGAGAGCCAAGGAGTAGTAAACACACTTTAGTTAACTTGACTGAAGGTCCACTAATATTTACTTCATGGTAGAACAAAAGTAAATTCATAAATTTATAGAGGTTAGTTCATATAAGCATTTCTGCCTTGGCTATAAGATTATATTATACAGTAAATACAGTACAGGATTTGCATTTCCTAATGATTACATGGAAGGATTTTGTGAAGCTTGGATTAATACCAGGAAGCCAGCCTCATCATCATATTTTGCCAGATTAAAAAAGGACTCATTTAAATGGATTGTTACACTTGATAAAACAATGGCATCTCCAAGCTCAGTTAATATAATTATTCTTTTCTGCTAGAGATTTATGTTTGCCTTATAAACAATAATATAATTCTTTTTGTATTAACCAATTGATGGTATTCAGTGAATTCAGTGGTACATTGGACCTTGTGCTAAAATGTGTTCCTTTTTCTTACAGTGGAAGAGGTGTTTACATCATCTAAAATTCAATATATTCTTAAATTTCCTATATTAGGAAATTATCGGGTTTTTTTTTAAATGATTTTATTGTGGGGCCTCCCTGGTGGACTAAGGGTTAAGTCTCGGCATTATCACGCTATTACCTCTGAGGCTTGAGTTTGATCCCTGGTCAGGGAGCTAACCCACATATGGTGCAGCAGACCTCTCCTGTCTGGCCCTCTGCTCCCCTCAGCAGTGTACTTCAGTCGATCTGCCTGTTCTGCTCCCCACTCTGTCTCTGGTGAATCCTCTCACCCCCTTGCATCTTTGGCTTACACTCTAGTTATTGTATGCATAAATAAAAATATATCTTAAAAAATAAATAAATGATTTTTATTGTATTTCTATCCTTAGTGATTTTATTGTATTTCTGTCCTTAAGTAAGTGAATCAAGCAAGTTTAATGTCACACTTATTTCTAGTACTGTGTGGAAAAATGCTAACTCTCAAAACTCATTAAAACTAATACTTTATGAAAATTTTCTCATGTAAAATATATATATTAAGACTCAATCTTTCTTTCTTATTCCTCATTGTCCTTTCTTTGTACCAACTCCAAGAAAACACAATTTATAGAGTCAATTAAACCATAAGTCATAGAAGAATGGAGAATAATTTTCAGTTTCTTTTTTTTTTTTTTTAAAGTAGTAATTATTCTTTTTTTTTTTTTAATAGAGGCATGTTTTATTTATTTATTTATTTGATGGTTTGTTTATACATGCACTGGGTACAGTCAGAAGCGCGGGAGGGTGAGAGAATTCACCAGAGCCAGAGCAGGGAGCAGAGCAGGCAGAAGGACCGAAGTACACTGCTGAGGGGAGCAGCGGGCGGCAGGAGAGGTCTGCGCGCCATGTGGGACCCTCCTCTGGTGGCCGGGGAGCAGCCGGGGATTGAACCAGCACCGCAGAGGCTGCGGGCAGCTTCGCAACCCAGCACTCAACCGCTGCGCCACTGGGGAGGCCCCAATAATTTTCAGTTTCTGAGGAAAGTACATGAAGCTATTTCTGCCAAGGCTAGAAGCTGGTCCTTCTACAAAAATGATTAAAACAATACTGCATAGGGGGGCCTCCCTGGTGGCGCAGTGAGTTAAGACGCAACCTATGAAGCTATCTGCAGCCTCTACAGCATGAGTTCGATCCCCTGGCCGGCCAGGAAGCAACCCACATGGTGCAGCAGACCTCTCCTGCCTCGCCCACTGCTCCCTTCAACATTGTACTGTCAATCTGCCTACTCTGTCTCTGGTGAATCCTCTCACCCCTCACACCTCTGGCCTGTACCCCAGTTCCTGTATGCATAAATAATCTTTTAAAAAAAATTAAATAAAAAAAAACCAATACTGCATAGGACAAAAAAGAGTGAAAACAGGGTGAGAAGAGTTTGTATTCTCAAGACTGTTTTACTGAACTATGACCAAGAAACGTCTGCGGCACAGTTCTGAGAGAAAGTAATGGTGGCCAACCCTAAAGAACAAGAACCTGTCTTTAACTTTGCTTTCTGTTTTAGTTAGGGGTGAAAGAAACATGATCTGTTTTTAAAAAAATGAACGTTTCTTTTAAACTAATTCAGAGAGAGACACTAAGGGCTACAATGATGATGACACAAATCTGACAGTTCAAAAAATACACAATTAAGTGGGATTTTACAGAAGAGGGAGGATAGTAGGCTGAGCAAGATTGTGAGGCTTCTGCTAGCTAGCTGTGTGGCATCATGCAAGTCCATTAACTTTCCTGGCCTATTTTTGTAACCAAGGTTGGAATATTTAATTTCTAAGCTTTTTGCTAGCTTGAGAATCTCATAATTCTAAGACTGGTGATTAGAGAAGGCAGGAAACTTCTTGATCTGTGTGCTATAAAGGTAAGCCTTAGGATAAGTTCTGAAGACTCCCAAATGATGTGTTTATTAGGACGAAAAAGTGCAGATAAAACATGACTCCATTATAGGTGGCTCTCCAGCCAACAAGGTACAGTACCAGTTTGGATAAATACTTATGATTCTAAAAATCAGAATGTTTCAGATTATATTGCTTTATACCTCTATGTTTTTAGACCCTAGGTGGCAATATCTGAAGATACCCTATTTTTGATGTTCCTTCTATATATGCCTAAAAATACATGAATGAGCATGTATATATTTATACACATATTTATATATATGTGTATGTTTGTGTCTGGATTGTGTATGAATGCCTATGGAAGAAAAATCTTAAACAAAAAACTCAAGAGGGAACCTATGTGTATCCGTGTGTCCACAGCACACACATGTACACTTACATATATATGTATGGCGGAGTGCCCAAGGAGAAAAAAAGCATCACATAAAAGTAGCTCACAGGGAGCCTAAGGCCAGAGAGGCAGAGTGGGAAGCTTCCCCGCAGTAGTACTGTGTTCAGTACAGCAGCGATGGTGAGCGGCCTAGAGCACTAGAGATAAAACTTGTACTGGGGGCAAAGATTAGGACTGAGACACCTGCAGTGGGGGGACCCTTGGAAGGCTACCACCTCAGTGGAGGATGGTCTTAAATAATGTACCCCTCATCCCCCCCGTAGGCTCAATGGAATTAATAGGCTTTTTATGCCACTAGCCTCTGTGGCTCTCACCTGCGGCCTTGATCTTGTTGACGCAGAGGGCGCTCGGCAGTGTGGGCGCAAGGCATGCGTGTCTGATCGTGGCCACCTGGAGCATGGTGTGGGCATGCATAAGTGTGCACACCTGAGTCTGGAGGGCCAGGCTATAAGGGCAGCGTCACTCAGAGAGGCAGGATGGCTCGAGGACGGCTATGAGAGGACCATTGACTACAGAAGAGGTAAGACGATGAGTGAACACCAGAGAGCCCAGAGAAAGCATAAAGATTCCCTGGGGCCTGGGGGGCTTGCTCCCAGTCTCCCAGTCCCCCCTCAACCCCATCCCTGCCCTGTGCCTGATTGCCCCACTACACCCACCCTATCACACAGAAGTCTTTGCTGTAGCTCTGGAAGGAGAAAATTTCTCACAAGAGTTTGAAATTGCTGGCCTTTTCGAAGAGTTGGTACTAATCACATGGTGAGAAATTAAGACAGGAAATAAATGGTTCTACAGGGTGATACCTCTAGGGACACAAGGCAGAAGAAAATGTAAAACCACTCTGAAGGGACTTCCTCAACCCAGGCTACAATGGGTTTTCTTAAAAGAACAAGACCCATTTAAGATCAGCTCCTAAAAAATGTTACAACTGAAAAGGAAATAACCCATCACAAAGCAAAGTTAACAGAACACTAAGAGATTCAGCCCAAACAACAGTTTAAAACAATTTTAAGTATAAAATTGTTTAAAAATGGTTAAAGGCATAAAAGACTATATACAAAAGTGAGATCTGTGAAGAACAGGTAGATATAGATAAGCACTTTCCTTCCACGAAAGAAAAAGTCACTGAAGTGAGTTTACTGGGTTAAAGAGAGATTGGACACAGCTGAAGAGATTGTGAAATGAACTGGATGTTAAGCTTGAAGAAATTACCCAAAATGTAGCACAGCAAAACATGAACATTTGTATTTTTTAGGTGCGTTATCTAATGAGTTTGAACCTTAGAATGCTTTTCAGAAGATGAATAAAATTATCTCTGTGACTGTCTATGAAACAAGACACTAGAACGATATGCGATATGACAGCCATTAGCCACAGTTGGCTGTTGAGCACTCAGAATGTGGCTAGTGTAACTGAGACATGCTTTTTTAAAAATTATAGTTATTTTTAAGTAATTTAAATTTTAAAAAGGTATGAGTGACTCAATTGTTAGAAAATGCTACTTGGTATGAAAAATATGATGAAAATTTAGTAGCTGGTTAAGATGTACTAAGTGTAAAATATATACCAGATTTCAAAGGCTTAGTGTTACTGAACGTAAGGGATCACCACTTGGAAGTGTGCCAAATAGACCAGACACACACTATTTTTGACAGAGGAAGAGCAGTTAATTACCTGTGGGTTATTGAGGCAAAGAGGGTTAAATTCCCACAGACTACCTTCTTGAAAACGGGCTTGAAAGGGCTTTGAAAAGAAAGGATGGCAAAAGTGAGACAAAAGGAGTCTTTTGGTGTTTGCGTGTTGGAGGTATTGGGAGGTGCCGGGCATCTGTTCCTGCCTGGAGGTAATTCATGCCTCCACAAATATGGCAAATGTGGCCCAATTTCTCCCCTAGGTAGAGTTTTAGTATGCTAATGAGGCTGGGAATAAACCAAGCAAGCTCTGGATTCTATATGGGCCAGAGCGCTTTTCAGACAATAGGAGTGTTTGGAATTTAGCTCTCGAAGCAAGATAGCTTTTAGTTATACATTATTGTCTTTGACTAAAACAAATGGGGTACAATTTAGTCCGACATTATTGTCCTTGAGTGAGTCAGATCAAGACTATAGCCACCGTGTAAGGGGCCAGATTTAACATAAGATCAGTCAAGCAACCTAAGTGGCCTGCTAAGAGTTAGCACTTCGTGGTCTTCACTCTTTCCTTCTTGATGGAACTATCTTAATCATTTGTTTCCCGATTCTTTGAGTTCCTAGTTAAGAGGAAAGTAAAATATTGATTTTAAAGATATTGAATGTTGGGGTATTTTAAATGTTAAATATATTAAAATCCCTTTAAAAAATGTGGCCATTAGAAAATTATGTATTGGGCAGTACTATACTAGAACATATATTTAAATCAAAATCTTTGATGTTTGAATCAGTTCCCCAGAGCTCAGATGCTGAAGGGTGTGGGGAGTTAAAGATTTATCTGAAGACAGCTGTTGGAAGCTGTAAAAAGGATCTCTTTCTCTGTCACTAAAATTAAAGCCATTCTTAGGACTCTGGATGCAAGCCTATGACTTCTTTTAAGTTCCAGTTAAAATTGCATTTTTTAAAAAAGATTTTTTATTTATGCATACAGGAAGTGGGGTGTAGCCCAGAGTTGCAGGGGTGGGGGTGAAGAGAATTCACCAGAGACAGAGTGGGGAGCAGAACAGGCAGATCTACTGAAACACACTGCTGAGGGTGCAGCGGGTGAGACATGTGGGTTAGCTCTCTGGCCAGGGATCAAACTACTGCTGCAGTGGCTGGCGATAGCTTGATAGTGCTGAGCTTTAACCTCCCTGCGCCACTTGGGAGGCCCAAAATTGCAATGTTTGAGTGCATTGTTTTTACGAATACTAAAGTAACTATGAATATAGGTGTATATATTTTATATACAAATATAAAAAAAAGTATATACATATATTTACAAACATACATTATAGATACACATGTATAAATGTGTATATTTTTGGTTAGCTCAATTTTTCTGAGTTTATATGTACTAAACAGCGTAGTTTTGGAAATAAAGGATTCCATTACTTCTCATCCTTACTGTGGGGACCTTGCTGAAAAGTGCTGACTTTGATCTGGGAAGTCTGAGCTGGGAACACGAATTCTGCATTCTTAGTAAGTTTCCCAGTGAATGAATTCATACATCTCCATATATGTATAAAACAAATTGTTTTAAATTGCACTCTTTTGTTAGCTGATTTTTACTCATTGATCAAATTAACAGTTGAAAGAATGAATTTTGAGGCAAGTGCTGTGACAACTTTCTTTCCATTAAATCTCCTAAGTCCCTTCGTTATGGGACCTTATTCCATCACTTATCTTAGCACTTGCCTTGTCTGTAATATAGTTAATTATTTAATGATTTACAAAGAATGTAAATTAAACTTTAACAATGTCATCATTGATTTTTAAGATATTTCAGAGATGGCAAAATGAGACAAGTACACATCTTTGATGGAATATAACATCAGTGTTCCCTCAGCTTCACCTTGAGACCCAAATTTAATATTGCTGGATTATCTGGCCCTGGATGCCACTTCGGCCCTTCCTTTTTCCCTTATCTGAAGTCACTATGGTTCCCCCAACTAACATGTCTTTGGAATTCCATCTCTCAGTAAGTGATGCCATCCCTTTGGTGATTCTGATGCAGATTTTTCTCAGTCTGTATTCTGACAATACTGCTCTTCAAGGAGTCTATTACTGCTTGTGTTGCCATCCTAATGGCTGTCATCCAAGGGTTTGACATTTCACTGAATTTTCTCCAGGTTATTTATAAACACGCTAAGGATATCAGCCAATATCACAGTGCACCCTCAAGAATCATTCCATACTTTTTCACTTAGAGAAGTGCCTGGTTGATGTTATTCCCTGTTCCTTATCTTAAAATGAGGTCCCCATTAGGACAAAATATTCCCAACTTAAGCTTCAGCATTGAAATATTCATTCAATTAAATCCTTCCCTGAAGCACTACTTTGAGGAAGGAACTCTGTCTTGGGTGTGATGAAAAGGTTGCAGTGAGAAAAAGGAAGCAGATGATAACTACTTAATTGCAGTTAACAACATGATCTTGAGACTTATGCTGGAAAAGATCCTCAGTCATCTGTGTAATCTAAAATGGGTACAGTCCTGCTATAGGGCAACCACTAAGTAAACTTGGAATGTGTTAAACTTAATACATGCTCTGAAGGCACTGCCCTATATTTCTATTATTTAATTAAAACTGACAGTAATATCCTATAGCCAGTGCTAAAGCATCATTTTTCCCCATAAAATAAAATTTCCCATTTAAAATCTGCATGTGGTATAATTTGGTGTTTTAACAGTTAAGATTTTAAAGGAGACTAAGAATAAAAATTTTGATAACACATTCTGCAAAAAATTTTATTAAAAATATCTTTAAAAAAAGGAGACTTTTATATACAGTTACTTAGTTAAGAAACAGTCAAAAACACAACAAAATAAACCCAGATCTAGAAATTATGATTTTTAACATATACAAACAATACTGATGCCGAACAAGATAGATTAAATGTATGATTCTCTGTCCCATCACATTTCAATAATTCACATTTGTTAAAACCCATGGTTGGGTCTAAAGAATTCTTTCCTCCTTAGGAAATGGCAGCCACCCTTCCTGGCAGGTACATGAACAGCAGCAGCCAGGCAGTATATTCTTATTTCTTTGCATGCCTGTGAGTTCCAAATACTTCTCTACCACTTTTATTCTCTTTTACTATTTTCTTCTTTGATATTTATTTACAGGCTATAGCATCTGATCATTTATACCAGGCTCCCCTCTCTATTTTAATTTTAATTAAAAAAAAATGTAAGTTTCTAAGGGCAAGGAGCATGAACTGCTATTGAGAGCACAGGAATCAGAGCTAATGCCCTTAGGATATCAACACGCAACATGATTTTGGTCTCCAAGTCGGCACTCCGAGCAGCTATGAACCAATCTTTTTTTAGCATGGCATTGAGATGTTTCAAACCACATTAAAACATCTGACATAGATTTGTAATAAAACAGGAGAAATGGCTTGTCACACACTAAAGTGCTATCAGTTACTATATCCAGGAGGCTATCTTGAGTTCACAATCCAAATATTTTAAGCTTTATTTTCAAACCACAGTCACTGCTTCCTAAATTGGGAAACCCCAGCCATCTTCCTAGAGTGTGAATTTTACTAAAAGATTTGGAAAAAAATTAATTTTTTTCTAATTTTAGTAAATTCTATTGAATGTATTCATAAGAAAAACCAGTAATTTTAAAGATAAAACATACAACTTCAAAGATATTACAAGATGACATTTTGGACTATGCCCTCATACTATATCTCCTATGAGGAGTGTTTCAGTAGTAACGTCTGAAGCAATGACCTAGGAGGCCCTGATTTCAGAAAGTGTAGCCAGGTCCTCACTGACAGCAAATACAAATAATATTCAAGTCTTGACTCATTTTCGAGTTCCATCTTCAAAAATAATGTAATTCTCTGGTTAAATATATATATAGTCCTATCTATGCTGATCAGGAAGAAAATCAAGGAAAGAACTCTGGACTGATTTTTATTTTACACTGTTTAATAATTTGAGGAATGTTGCAACCAAAGAAGGTTGCTGGCTTACAATAAAAAAATACACAGCATGTCATAAAAAATAGTGGAACTCTGAATCCAAAAGGTTAGAACTTGACCTACTGAAAATATTGGGACTGTAATTGTGGGTGGTCTTACACTCCTTTAAGATTCGTATTAAATGACATCATCCTTGTTCTTTATGGCCCTTTATGTTGAGGAGGTTAATAAGTATATGGTACTTTTTTGAGTTAATTCTGTTCCTTCCTGACAACCCCAAATTCACTAGGGATTCTTTCTTGACTCCAAAGGGATCCTTTCAACATTTCATGGGGGTAAACCCAAACTGCCTGCCAATAATAACAACTTATCAAATACAAAGTCAGTGGTCATTCTCTGAAGAAATTACATTTATAAAAAACAAAATGAAGTTGCCAATGAAATTATATGAGCCAAATTTACAAAGCCTTTTTTTTTTTCTGTGGGACCCTCGCTGGCGGCTGGGTAACGAACCAGCGCTGCAGAGGCTGCGAGCAGCCTCTCAGCCCAGCGCTCAACCACTGCGCCACCAGAGGAGGCCCCAAAGCTTTCTTTTTTTTTTTTAAACAACGGAACAACTTCATAAGGCCATATAAGGAAACCACAATTTGTAAATCAAGTTGCCATTCAACACATTTAATAATTAAATATAGTTAAATATGATGTTTGATCAAAAATAATCCTGGATAGTTTAAGGGTAAATCTCATTAATCCCACAATTTAATGAGACCATCCCAACCACATGTTATCACTTTAGATGTTTCATGTGGATGCCACACTGCACCGATACACACTTTATCATGAGCTTTAAATCGACTGTAGAGTTTTGTGGTCTTCCAGTCCCAGATGTTTAATTTTCCATTTCCATCTCCTGAAATCACATAGCTACATGGGAAGAAAATTAAATTCAAATTATTCAAACATCTTTATTAAGAGAAACAGAGGGTTTATCTTTTCACTTTAACAAAAAGAAAAAACAATGTGAATATAAAATACTCAATGAGAATAGAGCATGAAGCAGTCTGTAATTTAAACTACCAGAAAAAATTCTCCCCATTTAGCCACCAATCTAGAGAATGAAAAATTTTAACTTGGAGACTGGGAGATGCAGGGGCCATGGCAGCACAATGTGGTATCATAATCACTCTCAGACAATCAGGGAATGTTTATATAAGGGAATGTTTCACAAAGAGCCAATGACCACATTTAGAGCTAGTCTACCAATGTAGACTATTGGCTTCCTCAATTTTTTTGGCTCCAACATCTTTCAAATAGGTCTAAGGCTGATCTGGAGGTGGGAGCCTATGACCCAACTGCTAGGCTAAACATACAAAGTTACAGTGATTTCTGAACTACTTACATCTATATATTTTAGTTAAGAGTGGAGTTACAAATGCAGTGTTGCATTCTTAGACTCTGGGCTTCATAAATCTAGTGACCTAGAACTATGCAGAAGTTGAATTTGAGGTTTCAGCACAGAAAAGCTGAAGTGAAGTTAACTTCTACAATGCAATACAAAATTAATTCTTCTTGTGTTCATTCAATCACAGCAACATAGTAATTACAATCCTCCCAGCCTTGCATAGAAAAGCAGAGAGAAAATAAGGTGTTGTCTATAATTTATGATGTTACAGGGTACAGACTAAGCAATAAGGAGATACGCTGAAGAACTGAATAAAAAGAAAAGTGTAGTTTTCATAACTTGCTCTTCCCTTTTTACCTGACAATTTGACAGTCTACATAGTTCTCATACATACTTGAAGGTGATTTGTAAAGTGTTATATGAACAATAGTAGTTTTATATCATATTTGAACACAAGAATAAAAGATTTAAACTTACCTCATGTCTGGTGAAAAGTCCACCTGACAAGCATAGCCTGCTACCATATGGCCCTTAAAGATTTTTTTCTTATTTAATCTGAATCTGTTCTGTGCTCCAAAAATTAAGATTTGGTTGTCCATTGATTGGCATGCTAGCCATTTCCCTGTAAATCCAATAAGTGAGATGTGTTAGAGAAAGCTGAAAAAATTTACAAGGCATTTTATTTTAAATATGTTCTAGTCATTAACATTCTCCTACTTCCAACTACTTCAAAAAAAGAGTAACAAATTTACCATACCACTTGTGGATTTGTTATAAATACACTGTTGGCAAAAGTATTTTTAATTAATGGTTTTGCTTATGTAATTTCTTATTAGGGTGTCTCCATTTACAAGCTTTTTTTTGTTTGCATAAATAAGAATACACAGAATTCTGACTTTAGCATTAACATAAGTAAGCTAAAATTCTATGAAATAAAAATTAATTTGCAGTTATTATAGACAACAGAATCATGGCAAGAAAGAGACTTATTTCTGTTAATTCTGGAAAACGGAAAGATTAACTCCCTGTGAGAAAACCCAGAATTATTAAATAAATGACAATAAAAGATACGATTAAAAAAACTATAGTAATGTTGTTGAAAGGCCACATTGCTTTTATATTACCCAGGAAGTGCCAAAGCGCCCAGTCACTAAACTGTAGTGCTTTCCTAGCATCCTACATAATCGTAGACCTTTCTAAATGAGAGTGATCCTAACAATGATCAGTCTTATTGGGTTACTGGGCTTGTTCAAGATGGCCATATTTGTAACGGATGGTTTAAAAATACACATGAACTACAGATGCAGTGATCATGTGATAAAGTACCTAATGAGGTGATTATGAAAATAACACCCAGGTACTGGCTGCTCTTCCCATAAAAATCCTAGGGCATTTGCCAAATGATCACCAATTTGCCTGTGGCAGATGTACTGATGGAAGAGCAAACTATTTCCTGCCTCTTCCTCCATGTCTACACTCATAGTAATGAGTTAACAGTGGCTTTGATGAAAATGTTGCCCAACATTGTCAGCTTTAATACCCTCATGTAGAGAGCTATCATTTTATCAGTATACTGTCAGTATATCCATAGTACAAATATCTGCATTTAAAACGAAATGGATTATTGAATAGAGAATGGTATTAAATAAATATCCTTTTTATTTTTGTTTATTTTGGAGAAAGTCTTTTATAGTGAATTGCTATCATTATAGGATATCAGGTGAAAATCTATTCTTTGAAAGAAAAAACTCACAATAAATTACTAAATGCGTGTCAAATATTATCTGAGAATGAGATTTAAGCAAAACAAAACAACTCTAACTCTCAGATGGAACTCCTTAGATGTTCAGTATGTTAACTGCAAATCATGGTTTTTCCCTAATTTTTACTTTATATTTTTTCAAAACAGGAGAAAGAGTGAGGTGATTCACATATAAAAACTAGTGATTATTTCTAACACTGAAAAGATTTCTTTATACAAGTTTGGCACTATGATAGATTTCCCCTAAGAGAGAATGGCCAATGTTCTTTCGAATATAGAAATCATACAATGTCTTAGAAACACATTTAAAAACACATTCTATCTAACGCACCATTTGGAGACAAAGTCACTGCAGGCATTGAGTGCATACTGGGTTCTGCTATGTACTTAAAATCCACAGGGATATCCCTAAAAATTAAAAATAGCATATCAGAGTTAGTAATTTTCAAATGCATCTGTAGAAGAATTACCTTTGAAACAAAAGCAGTATTCTTGAAAATTACCGATTTTAGAAATCTTTCATAGAACTTCCTGAAAGAAGGAAAACCGTAAGATGCCATTCTACTATTATCCATCTTTTACTTCACAAATGCCTTTCCATAATTAAAACAATGGCATACTTAGTTTTCTCTTTATTTGGTTTAAACTTTGCCCTTCATATTAAAAAAGTCTGTTAGTAAAAGTTCTTTACTAGTGAACCAACTCAAATGTACCAGGGTAGGCAGAAGCAAGGTGTTTGAGGCAAACCTATAGGGAAGCATTCTTACTTTACCTGCCAGTCAACCTTAATTTGTTATTCTGCAAGCAGGTGAGAATGCTAAACAGGCTTCAGCAAAGCAAGCGGATGGGAGGCAAAGCTGCACAGGGTCTGCAAGCAAGCCTAGCCCACCCCAAGATAATGTGATCTCTAGATGGGCAAGGGAGCTTAAATGCTTGATATTTATATTTATATATAAATAAATATTTTTAAAAAGTTCAGCTGGTTTTTCCTCATATTTACTACTAGTGCCTAATAATTTTATAATGGGAGAAAAACAAGAACATTTTCTAAAGTAATCATAGTCCAGATTCATAGCAATCTATGTACTAAAACTAACCATAAAAATTTAAATAGGGGCCTCCCCGGTGGCGCAACGGTTGAGCGCTGGGTTGGGAAGCTGCCCGCGGTCTCTGCGGCGCCGGTTTGATCCCCGGCTGCTCCCCGGCCACCGGAGGAGGGTCCCACATGGCGTGCAGACCTCTCCTGTCGTCCACTGCTCCCCTCAGCAGCGTACTTCAGTCCTTCTGCCTGCTCTGCTTCCCGCTCTGACTCTGGTGAATTCTCTCACCCTCCCGCGCTTCTGACTGTACCCAGTGCATGTATAAACAAACAAACAAAACAAACAAATAAATAAATAAAAATGCCTCTATTAAAAAAAAAAAAATTAAATAGGCCCTTATTTCAAGGATTCTTGGTACAATGAGCTCCAGAATGAGAAATGAATCTGAACACACTGGACTTTGTTACTTTTAGTAAAAATGTCTGTTAGGCATAGCTGCATTTAATAAATACAATGTATTTTTTAGTTAGAAATTAATTTAGTATAACAAACTATTAATAGTAACTTCTATTTTACAAATATTCTTCAGTCTAAAATCATCAAAAAAAATCCCAAAATATAACAAATATCTGTAAAAATTTAAAGACAGAAAATAAAAATGTCAACCTCTGCTACATTTTCTTTGAAGAGTATTTTAACAAAACAAAGAAAAAAACATATCTGACTGTTCATGAATTTAGCCAATTTGAATACCTCGGGCAATTCAATATTTTTTATTCTCCTTTAAAACAGTGTAATAGTCTCAGGATATATAGCACTGTTTTAGAAAACCAAGTTTCCTTTAGTTTGGTGTCTTGTATCATTTGGCTATTGTAAGCAGGTCTAGAAAACACCACTTGTCTGGCCCCACTGATAACTTTACTCCTGCTGGCGTCAGTTCTCTCTTTGAGGTCGTCAGGACCTCCCTTCCTCTCCTATGCAAGCTGCCAGTATCACTAGTGATTGCTTTCAGGGACATATATATATTTTTTTTTTCAGTGAGGGACAGCTTCAGGGGTCCTGAAGTGGGTCTACTTCCTACTTTGTCTTTGTAGCAAGACTGATCTTCACATTTTTTTGTTTTCTGACTAATTAAACTGGACGCAAGTTAACTTCTCTCCCCACTAGATACTTCAACCATCTAACAATCTATTTGTTAACTGATGGTGAGAATCCTTTGACAATGTATACATACATGGAATTATGCTATTCACTTAGAGGGACAACAAACATACCTATCTCCTAAGATTGCTTTGCAACTCAAATGCAGCACTTCACAGAAAATGCTCAGTGGTTCAATAAATGTAACATCACTTATAATTAGGATAGTAACTATTTCCTTAGCTGTTCAGTGCCTGCTATGTGCCAGGACTGTGCCGGTGCTGGGGAAGATGGACAACAGGCTGACACAGTTCCTCTGTCACTGTTAAGAACTTGTCAGGGGAGAGGAACAAATAAGCAAGCACTAAAAAAAGTATGCTAAAAGCTGAAGGAAGCAAAAAAGAGTGTGGGAAGACAGAGATCAGGAACCCATCTTCATGTGAGGATTGGTCAGGAAGTGATAAACTAAATTCTAAAGGAAGTAATCATTTATAATGATACAAATATTATGACTTTTAGGAGTAGTTTTAAGCTCTGAGGACAAAAAAGAAACAGGCTAACATCACCTCTTTATTTAATCAAAATATTTTGTAGCCCAACTTTCATTTAAGAAAAGCACACACAATTTTCTTCAAGTGTTCTTAAAGCACTGTAATTGGTGCATCATTTAAATATTTACCAATTTCTTTTATACCACTCCTTATTTTAAAATGGAGCTAAAATACCTGAAAATAGAAACGTCTGAAAGTTTAAGTATAATCAAGCTGTAAAAATATATAAAACAAACCCCGTATGTGTATGTTTATTCTCCAGAAACTTATGCAAATGATCTAAGGTGGTTTATGTAAAATTTAGTGTCTATATCAATCTTTGCATATAACATCATTTCTGAAGAAAGACCTATAAAAGAGTCTTAAACCACAGACTTAATGGGTGATAAGACTATATATGAGTATTGTTAACTATGCATGAGTTGGAGGTAATTTGGATGGGGATAGTAGTGGTGAGTGTGGGAGAAACTACAGTTAGATTATATTAAATCTTTACCCAAACTGCCCCAGATCTCTTAGGGATCTGCTCAGCTCCCCAATGGGACTCACAGTTTTAGGAGAAAACTCTTAGTTGTAGTTTTAAAGCCTCCTACTTTAAAGCAGAAGAGATTCTAGGAGTGGGAAGAAACATTTTCTAGTCCCCCACAAGGCAGTAACCACATTGAGCTGTGCTTCAGAACTGACTATAAAAACAAGCTGGGTTCCTTTCAACACTCAAAGATTCATTTTAACAAAAAAATTATAATGCAATTCTTTGCAAATTATAAAACATGAGTTATGATACTCAGTGAAAGTAGCTTTAGTATTTTAGAAAATTTTTTTCTCTAGGAAAGCAAAATTAACAATAGTTCTGATTATAGTCTATAAGTGAAAATCTGTTTTCTACATTTATGGGCTATGAATGACAGGACACAAGGGTGATACCATGGAGCAATTTTTGGTTCTGAATGATCATAACACAGACATTTAAAAAATTAAGAGCATTTTTCAATGTCAATGTCAACCCAATGTTTTCTTTGGGTTGGTTCTGACGCCAGGATCTCATGTTCGGTTCCCAGTGTAACCACTCTGTGTATACATGTATGGCCCCTACTTCTCGCCAGTCATTTTGCAAAGACAAATAAATGATGAAAAATGTAAGAGAGCACAATGTAAACTTTCCACCACTGTAAGAAAGATGACTCAAAATATATATCCTTCAGACAGACTATGCAAAGACTTTGGAAGGCAGCATGTTTACATTATTTCCATATTCTGGATACTTAAAGGTTAAGAGAGTTTGGAAAGATTTCAAATGACTGCATATTATCAGACTTTGTCTTCAGCTACAAATATTTAAACTGTTTGCTTTATATAAATCAGATTTTCTACTTATTGAAACTTACCATTCCCAAACTCTTAGGCTCTTATCATCAGATGTGCTCACAAATCTCCTGTTCTCATCAACAAAAACAATGGTGTTGACAGCTCCCAAATGCCGATCATATTCCTGTACAATTTCTCCACTTCGAATGTCCCACTATATGTCAAACAAGGAAAAGACAGAGGTGGAGTAATGTATTAACAGGAATTAAGAGCATAATTATGGAAAGTGGAGAAAGAAACGAATTTCTACATTATTTTTATAGATTTACTAAGAATAATCAGCAGTTCCCCAAAATAGCAAACATTAAACAAGTTAATATTCTTTATTCACTCCCCTCATGGAATCTTAATAAAAATACTATGAAAGCACTTACTTGCACAATCTTTTTATCAGACATCCCAGCCACAAAGAGATTTTGCTTATCTTCATCAGGATTAAATTTGACACAATAGGGTACTTTTCGGTTTGTAAATCTTGATATACATTGTCCTAAAACAAAAGATCCAAGTTAGAGTAGGTAAAATAAATATGACCCCAGGTTGTATGACAACCCTGGGATGAAGTGCTTGAGTTACTCTGCTAATAAATTTTGAGGAAGGGCAGCCTGATTGTTCTTTACTGTAAGCTAGACTGTTCCTACTCTAGGTTTTTAATGATCAAAAATAATTCTTTCAAAAGTAAATCTGTATCATCAACTGCAGAATACATCAAGCTTTTCAGGTGACTACAATGTGCAGCCAGAGTTCACAACCACTGGTAAAGAGGTTAAGGATATGAGAAACTGTGGTTAGAATATAATTTGGCCACTGTGTAACACTGGAAAAGTTACCTCTTTGAGAGCAGCTCCTCATTTATAATAATAAAAGTAGTTATTTCAGAGGTATTTTAAGGTTTGAATAAGATACGGAACTTATTTAGCAGAATGCCTGCCAAACATAAATATTCAATATTAGCTATTAACTTTATCCTTAAAAATCAGTCAGATGACAGATGGTTCTTTAATTAGACTAGCCACAACGTGCTGATGCAACTAATATGTCTGTGATCATATAAACTAACTGGCCCATGAAAGTTTAGACTCACAACTTAATCAACCTGGACAATTAAATTTAATCTGGACAATGTAAATTTCATCAGATATTAACAGCGCCTGTATTACATTGAATGCAGTGTGTGAGGTGATATTAGAATAAAAACATCAATTAAATAGTCTATTTAGTAAAGATTTCAGTGTTTGCTTGCTAAACTGTATTTGGTGGAAACAAAGTCTTTATAATAATGAAAGAGCTACTTTTATTAGCTGAGTTTCAACTCTAAATATTTTGTGATATTAGCTGATAGGCTAATATCAGATGAGAATCAACAAAACATAATTTTACCACAGAATACACTGCTTCATTTATAAATGCTGATTTTTTAAAAAAAAGATTTATTCATGCATACAAGAACTGGGGTATAGGCCAGAGGTGCGGGGGTTGAGAGGATTCACCAGAGACAGAGTGGGGAGCAGAAGAGATGGCTCTACTGAAATACACTGCTCAGGGGAGCAGCGGGTGAGACAGGAGAGGTCTGCTGTGCCATGTGGGTTAGCTCCCTGGCCAGGGATCAAACTCACGCTGCAGTTGCTGACAATACCTTGATAGCACTGAGACTTTAATCCCTGCGCCACCAGAGTGGCCCTATAAATGCTAATTTATAAGATAATATGTATTAATATAAATGAGCTCTTACCTGTCTCGGTGTCCCAGAGCTTAAGATACCTGTCATAAGCTGCACTGAGGAACTGTGTTCCTGCGGTATTAAAGCAGATGTCCCTAACAGCTTTACCATGACCTAAACACAGAGACAATGGATATGAAGGTGAGGTGAAATACCTTCTCTTAAAATACAGATACCATAACAGAAAGAGCATTTAATAGTGCTTTTCAAACATGCTGTAAATCAAAATCACTGGAACCCCCTTTCCTTATTTACTGACTCAGAATTTGTTTATATGTGGGCTTGGGAATGTAGCTGGTATTTTTTTTTCTCCTTCAAAAAGCTCCTCAGATGATTCAGATGCTTAACATTTAGCTAAGAAGCAACCAAAAAGATTTTTTTTTCTCTTACGTTTCCAACGACAACCTCTTAATATGTAATGCATACAACCAATGACTAAATGGTCAAGAATTAAAGGAAACACAATAGGCAAATTATTGCCAGTGAAAGATAATTGACTGGTAGCACATGAAGGTTCACTCTGATTACTCACCAAGATGGAATGAAAGCAAAGCGACTTACAGTTGATGTAGCTCTCATTTAATAATTGTCTTACTGCCAAATTTCATAGAAATAGATTGAGAAGTGTAGCGACCAAGCCTTTTTGAAAATTATTATTAATTTTCATTTTGTTTTATGATGGGCTTTTTAGATTAATTTTAAGGTGCTTCACTTGGAAATCAATCTTGCTAGACACCAGAATATTATAGGGACAAAAAATGTGGCTAAATGAAAACAGAAGCTTTTCTATTTCTCACTACCCTACCGAGACCAAGACTGCCAACGGCCATTGTGCAAATGTGTATGGCACAGACTATCTACCATACACAGAAGCCCTGTACCAATAAATTCTAGTCAAGCACATGCCAAGGCAAGTGGGCATTTACTACACAAGGAGTTCCATTCAGAGCACTTAACATTGGTCTTAGCAGGTAATTTTCAGATTTCCCCAAGAAACTGTCAGAACAAAGGAAACAGATAGGGACCAAATCTACTACAACTACAGGAGACATTTTGTTTTCCTGTAGTTGCTGGAAGCCTCCCGCAAGTCTTCTTTTAGGCTACATCTTAGGCAGTATTTACTTGTGCAGTGAGGTCCTAAAATCACAGCAAAGCACCGCAGAACGGACTCCCACTTTGAATCTAAAAACAGAGCCACTACAATGCACACAAATAGTGTTTCAGTGTGGTACTGTTAAATTTGGAAATGTAACTAGCCTTAGCACAAAATCTGACAGAGAATAAAGCGATTTTCTACCAAAAAGGCTGGTATGCCACAGAGCTGTTCTCTTTTTAGCCCTCTTCTTTCCTCCAAGGGGTTCGTTCAATCTCTTCCTTTTATATGCTTTAGTTGCCAATTCCCAATCGTTCTTTACAGCTCAGTGTCTGGCTATCTAATTCTTACTGGACATTTTCATTTCTGTATTACAAAGTTAGCTCCAATTCAACCAGTCTGAAACATTGTCATTATGTTCCTCCCCCTGGTGAATGGCATTGCTATTCATGCAGCCAGAGGGGAGTCACCCTAGATTCCTGTCTGTTACCACTCACATCCAGTTGTTAAGTCCCACTGAACTTAACTCTTGATGATTCCTTTCTTTATCTCTGCTAATTTAGTTCAGGCTTTCATCATTTTTATTCTAGATAAATGAAATACTGCTGTAATATATTTCCCTGCTTCCAGGCCTGCCCTTCCAAAGCATCCTCTATATTGCCACTGTGATCTTTGTCAACTTCAAATCTGATTATGTTGCTTTCTTGCAAGAGCTGTTTAATGGCTGGATTCCCAAGGGCCTCAGGACAGTTTAAACTCCTAATTAGTGGCACACAGGGTCTTGCAGTTTCTGCCCCTGCACCCCTACTGTTTTCCCCCACTTTCATCTCTTCTCATATCTCATACTCAGGTAATTTTAAAGTGTATGTGATCTACCAAAGCAGTTTTCTTACACCACTTTTGCTTTTTCTCCTGTTGCTCCCTCCTCCTAGTTGTCTATATGGGAACACGTATACCCTCTTCAAGATTGAATTCAAGTCTATGAAGCCTTTCCTTCATACCAGTGTAGTGCCACTACTGTTAATGTTGTTATCTTAGTTTAAAATGTCTTTCCAAACAGATGTATAGCCAGAGAGAAAAGAAGTATTACCAATAAATGTTCGTAGACAGCGCCTGTCTCCATAAACTTCCCATAACTGAGTAAGAAACAACACAAGGAAATATTAAATGTACTGATAAAATGACAACTTTCAATCAATAACAATAGTCCTATGCCAGATATGTGTATGCACAGGGGGTTTCACTAAAGACTTTTTCTGCACATCACTGAACATACTGCTAAGCACTGCTCATCTGTGTTGCACTATTTGGAAAACACACACAGTGAACTTTTAAGTTCAATACTAATGATATATTAAAATATTAAGAGAACTTAGATGGACTTAATATAGGTGACTTCATTTCTTGTTCTTTTCTGTAGTAACTGATATATTTGTAAGATCAAAAGTTTCCACATATGTAATATTATAAAGTACTTTTAAAACAATTAAATGTTATTAAAACTGCTGTATTTATACATTTTGGTAGTTTTTTTTTTTAAACTGTTCTAAAGTAACAAGTATTACTGAAGTGATATGAAAATGATCTTGGCTAAAGTTTGACTTAATTCTTATCACATTTTAAGTAAATTAATACAATACCTTCACAATACCTTTATTCTTGCCTACCTGAAATCCAATTCCCGACAATGTTGCTATTGCTCTATAATAGAAAACATTTCCTGGCCTTATATCCTGCAGCACACCAGGCAAAGACCTCTAGCGCCTGGTCCCTTGCCTGTAACTGAAGCCATTCTCCCTTTCTCTCAATTCTAGACTGTAGCAACCACAAAGCTTGTAGTTTTCAGTACATACCATGCTAATTCACTCCATTCTCTCTTTTTAGACATACTCTAACCCTGATCCAAACTTACTTTAGTTACCTTCCCATTGAGTACACTTCCTCTTTAAAACCACAATACCTTGTATAATCATTTATCTCATAATCACCACCCTAAGGGCAGGCACATAGTCCTTAGTAATTTTTCATCCTCAACCCTTGGCTCAAATAGGTACCTAAAAATGTTTATAGAAGTGAACTAAATAGCATTTTAAACTTTTTAAATTGGTCATCAAAAAGACCCAATCTCTATTAACATAGTTTGTATAAAGTGACAGTTAAAGGCCAAAAGAGTTTCTACTCAAAACTCTCGGTTTGTCATTTAAGCTATTAGAGACAAATGCCTGAAGGGCTGATCTTATCAAAAGAAGCTGCCTTTAAAATACCTTTAATATCCATGAATTATTAACAAACAGTAAAATTCCAGTGATTCAACTAGGCCCAAGAGCATTAGAGTTGCTGTTTATTGACCACTGTAACGATGTGGACATAGAAACTACCAAAAAAAGAACTATTTTTTTCAGATATATGGGTTTTTTTTATAGGCTTCCCCTACATTCAAGTTGACATGCATTGGCAACTGATTTTTTTCTACTATACACTGGAGTTGGACATCAGCTAAAGGTGGAACTCTCCAAGATTATAAAAAGTGGGAGAGGAGGCAGAGAGCATTTCTGCTGCTTAGTCTACAAGCACTTAGGGAAAAAAGGATGAATTATATTTATCTACTCTCTAAAAACAGGATTTTCAGCATGTCCTCTTTACTTGAGAAGGTTCAGAGAACAAATGCACCCAGTTATATATACAAAAATTTTATAAAAATTCATTACCGATGACTTAATATTTATATGTCTAAAGCCAAAGTGACTGACGACATAGCAATCAGTTATCTAAGCTTACAGAAAAGCTTAACTAATTGCACTATAGAGCCATATTTCAATCATCATGTTTGGAATCAATTCACCAACTGGGCATTCACAGGGCTTAAGAGAAAATAATTAGCCTTTAATTGCATAACAAACCCAAATTAATTTATAATTAATCAAGCAAATTTAACCAAAGCTGCACTACTGTTAATGAAAACTCACCTTAATTTTACAGTCCATGGAACAAGACAGCAATAAATGGCCAGAGAGAGGAAACAATCTGACTGCACTGACGCCCTATAAAAAGGTATTACAGTTACCATAAGAGGTGTTCTAAATATCAGTTAAAATTAAACATAAGGAAAAGACAGTATATTTTTAAGCAACCTAATTATTACTTTTCTTCATTCCAAAAATCTGCCCCAGAATAACCTGTTAGTATTCCAAGAGCAGTCCATATTGACACTAAATTTTTGAAGATTTTTTTTTTAACTTTTAATATTGACTTCCTCCCTGAAGGGAATCCTTAGTCAAGCAGGTTGTTAATGCACCACTTCTCTTCCTTCTTGTACTCAGTTCCTTTGCAATTTGGTAATAGCTGGAAATTATCAACTGGAGTAGTGCAGATGACAAAGAATATCAACATTTTCAAGTATTTTATTTTTGCCTTAGTTTAGATACCACAGCAAATAAACCAGGGGCATCTAATCTTAGAAGTGTGATAACCTCAAGAGAGGAAGCAAAATTACTGTCGTTTTGGTGCCAGTAGCAGCCCATTACTCACTGGTGCCCAAAAGGATGCAGATTGTGGCAGGAACTTGGGGGGCAGGACCTGGACCACCATAAGGGTAAAGTATACTGAATTATGAATGGTTTATGTCATGGCCAATCCAGCTGACCCTGAAGTCTATGTAGTCACTTGTGACTGGTATGTATGAATAACTCCAAAACTTAACTCAGGTTTATCTTCCATTTGACTTCCTGGCTCTATTTTGATTTCTCTATATCTTTATCAGAAATATTGGATGTTCCATATCAACAGTTAAAATTTTATGCTAGCTTCACTACTATACACTACAACAAACAGAAACAACCAGTTTCCTTACCTTTGTGTGCCCTGACCACACATGAATTTGTTTTTTGGGAAGATAACACTTCTCAGGTGGCACAGTTGACCGCAGATTAACACCAACATCCTGAGGTATGTGAAGATAGGACCTGCCCTGATAGTCATACATTTCTTTAACTGAAACAAAGCAAAGGAAAGTAGTGAAGAATTAGAAGCCAAAGTCAAAAAAATATACTATCTTAAAAAGAAAACAAGCATTTTCCTCATTAGGAATATTGTTTCAAATTAAGGTATAAGTAGGAAACACTCTGATCACATTAAAACTGAAAGCCAGCTAAAATTTAGTTGCCTGAAATCACTGCTATTATTTACAATTTGAGGAAGTATACTGGAATTCCTAAGTACCCCAAAAATCAGACCTTTAAATCCGTGCTTCTTTTACACATTTTAGTTGATATACATAAAAAGCCTTCACTGTAGTATAATTATAGCAAGGGAGAGAGAATAATACTTGGGCCATATGAGTCATCTGCAGAGGATCAGAAGCAAAACAGGATAAGAGGGAAGTTAAAACAAAAGAATAAATATCGGCTATCCTTTTTTCTTTTATGCCCATCCAGATTCTTTTTTCATTTCTTTTCCAATTCAATACAAATTTTATAATAAAGTCACATGTAGGAATTAAATGACTGTTGTAAAGCATTTATCAGCATACCTGAACAGCAGAAGTACCTCAAAAGTGTTGGCTGTTATTGTTATGGATGCAAGCACACAATACTAAACACATTTGTTGGAGATAAAACTAGAGGTTGAGAAATCAAATTATGGCCTCATGAAATCTAAATATTTGATAGGTGTTATAACTTTAGACTAAGCAATACTGTTAATGAACTATTCTTTGCACTTTCGGATAATCACAACATAATTTCCTAAATTAAAGAACTTATCAAGTAGGACAAGGTACATTCAAGAATATTTATGATTTTGTGAATATGTATTTCCTTCCACAAATCAAAGGATGAGAGTCTTAATCTCTAATCTACTTACATGAAAAATAAAGCTTTTTTTTTTAAGTATAACTTATTAACAATTATAAACTGTGAGGGCACCTGGAGAGTATTTGACATGGGCCAAAAACAAAAGGTTAAAACAAATAGAGCACTATTAAAACACCAAAGAGTCATCTTTATCATAGGAAAGAAGAGATTGTGCAAGGAAACCCCATTCAGGTTTCATTTTTATCTACCTGTTTAAAAAAATTCATGAGAAATTCAAAAAAGTATCTGTAGCTATCATTAATCATGCTATTTTCTCTCCTTTGCTAGAACATAAAAGAGTTTGCTGTAATTTCTCTGAGATGAAAACTGTCCAATATAATTCTTAATATCAATATAATGAATTACAGGAGCTGATTAGTAAGGGCAATTAATATACAAAGCAAGAGAAGAGTTAATATCTGAAAGTTTTTCATAAAAATGAAGAAGCCTAACTATCAATACTTTGTTTACAAGAGACCCATTTAAAACTGACAGACAGAAACAAACTAAAATAATAGGTTGGAATAAGGCCATACATGCTAATAACTCAAAGAGTAAAGCAAGAATGACTATTCTCATGCCGGGTAAGCTAGACTTCCAACTAATCATGGACAAAGATGGATGCTATATAATGATCAAGGGAACAACCAGCAAGAAGCTATGACTATTACTAATATTGATGCTCCAAATAGAGGAGCACCCATTTATACAAAGCAACTAATAGACCTAAAACAACATATCAACAAAAATACAATCATTGTTGGAGACTTCAAAACACCGCTGACACAAAGGGATAGATCATCCATACAGAAATTTAACAATTTAAATGAAGTATTAGATCAGATGGATTTACTGGACATTTTTAAGTTTTCCATCCTAAAAATAATGAATACACTTTCTTTTCCAGTGCACATGGAACATTTACAAGAATAGGTCATATTCTAGGATATAAAACAAGTCTCAAGAAATAGACAAAAATAGAAATTATCAATATATCAAAACAAAAATATATGAAACAAACCAAATATATGAAACAAACCAAAATATATGGAGACTAAACAAAATGTTTCTTAACAACCCTTTGATCAATGAAGAACTCAAAGAAGAGATATGACTAATGAACATGGAGAGACAAGCTACCAGATCCTATGTGATACTTTAAAAGCAGTCCTGTACTACACAGGACATTTATAGTAATACAGGACCACCCACCCACACACACACACACACACAAAAAAAAAAAGATCTCAATTTAGCAATCTAACTCTGCACTTGAAGAAACTAGAAAAAGAACAAGAGCACCTCCATACCAGTAGAAGGCAAGAAATAACAAAAATTAGAGCAGAAATAAATGAAATAGAAAAAAGTCCAAAAATAATCAGTGAAACCATGAGTTGTCTCTTTGAAAAAATAAACTAAATTGATAAGCCATTAGCTACACTTACAAAGAGAAAATCCAAATCAGCAGAATCAGAAATGAAAGAGGCAAAATTACAACAGATACACAGGATCATTAAGAACCTATTATAAAAGTGTCTGTGTAACCCAGAAGAAATGGACAATTCTGAGACTCATACAACCTCAAATCTGAACCTGGTTGAAACATACAGCTTAAACAGTCCAATCACAAGAGCTTAAATTGAACGAAGAATAAAGTCTCCCTAAGAACAAAGACCCAGGACCAGATGGTTTCTCCAGTGAATTCTACCAAACCTATAAAGAAGATCTAATATCTGTCCTATTACATTCTCAAAAAAAAAAAAAAAGCTGACAAGAGAGGAAAACTCCCCAATACATTCTATGAGGCCAGTATTACCTGATCCCAAAACCAAACAGAGATAGCACAAAAAAAGAAAATTATAGACCAGTATCTCTGGTGAATGTAGGTGCAAAAATTCTCAACCAAAAAAAAGCCAGCAGCAGGCAGAGCCTTCCTACTTGTTAGACAGGACACTGCCTGATTTATGAATTGTTTAGTAAAGCCAATTAGGTCTCTAAATTTGAAAAAAAAATGAAAAAGCACAGAAAATGTATTACCATGTAAGATTGTCTTTTCTTCCCCAGGTTTCTCATCTTCTTGTTTGCCTTTTTTCTGCCTCTTTGCTGTGATTTCATCTAGTTCTTTCTGTTCTTCCTAAGGGAATTAAGGAATGAATTTTAAATGGATGCGCTATGCCATCGTACCCAAAACTGGTTATAAATTCTTTATAATGAGGTGCACTTTTGGTGAAGCAATAGTTGCAACTATGTGTTCCAGGATATCAATCTCAACTCTTTGACAGATTACAAAAATGGCATCAAACACATAAAGGGTAATGGATAATGCTTTTAATCTCATTTTATACAAATACTCAACCTTCTGGAATATCTAGAAATAATCTAACTTAGCAAATGAAAGAGGCAACTACAAAATCTAGTATCAGAAAGGAAAATGAATTTTAGTATACATGTTGTCTTCAGTGAACAGTTTTTACACAGTCATAGGATATAAGCAAGACTAGATTTGTGACACTACTCTTATGACAGCAACAGTGGGTAGAAGGTGGGTCAGTAGTAAATCTTTGTAATAACAAAGAAGTCAGCAGATAATGTTTAAAATAAATAAATAGCAGCATATGTATATTATTAACATACATGGACATAAGATACAGCTAAAGGTAAGTTTCATGATAGGTGATTCCTGATCTGGTCCCCTGCTGTTATCACAGGACCCAGAACAATGACTAGCTCAGAGACAATAAGATTAGGAGGCTGAAAGGGGGTTTTATAGTTTCACTTTATAAGTTTTATAAAGTGAAATTTTATAAAGCACTATTAAAAAAACCAAATTATTTTATTAAAATTTTTAAATAATAAAGAAAACCTATCAATTCTAAAATTATAGAAAGGCTGATTCTATCATTACTATCTGATTATTTGTTATCAGAAGAGCAGCTACCCTGGCAGCTTAATAGCATCATGGTAATTTTTATTAAAAATTGCTCAATATGTTAGTTAAAAAGCATGAAAAAAAAATAAATAAAAATATTCAAAAAAGAAACACTATTTTCTTAATCAAGGCAAAGAAATTTTGATGAGTCATCTGGTCTAAGCAAATCTCAAGTTTATTAATATAGAAAATAATGTGCTATAGAAATACAGCATATACCTGAATTGATAATGAAAAACATCAAAACTTACTTCTGAAGGTTTGGCTACATCTTTTTCATCCACATATTTTGCCCATGGTCCCAAGAAACCATCAATATTAGATGCATCATTTTCTTTGAACTTTTTCCTCTTTTCTATTTTCTTCTGACCAGTTTCAAACACAGTTAAACCTGCATTAGAAAAATTAAAAGGATCAAAATATGGATATTTTTGAAGGAAGTAGCAGCACACATATAATTTACTTTATAAGTTTAAATGATGATTGCTCAAGTGACCAAAGATTTAATAAAAAATGCAAAATAAAATCTATATAAATCTGTCAGATATACCAGCTAACTTTATACAAAAAAGGGATTCAGAGGCCTCCCTAATGGTGCAAGGCATTAAGATGCAACCTATGGGGCCTCCCCGGTGGCGCAGCGGTTGAGTGCTGGGTTACGAAGCTGCGCGCAGCCTCTGCAGCGCCAGTTCGATCCCCGGCTGCTCCCCGGCCACCGGAGGAGGGTCCCACATGGCGCGCAGACCTCTCCTGCCGCCCGCTGCTCCCCTCAGCAGTGTACTTCGGTCCTTCTGCCTGCTCTGCTCCCTGCTCTGGCTCTGGTGAATTCTCTCACCCTCCCGCGCTTCTGACTATACCCAGTGCATGTATAAACAAAAAACAAACAAATAAAATAAATAAAGCATGCCTCTAATTAAAAAAAAAAAAAAATGCAACCTATGAAGCTGTACACAGCCACTGCAGCATGAGTTTGATCCCCGGCAGGCCAGGGAGCAACCCACATGGTGCAGCAGACCTCTCCTGTCTCGCCCTCTGCTCCCCTCAGCAGTGTACTTCAGTCAATCTGCCTGTTCTGTTCCCCACTCTGTCTCTGGTGAATCCTCTCACCCCCCCACACCTCTGTCCTACACCCCAGTTCTTGTATGCATAAATAAATAAATCTTTGAGGAGGAAAAAAAAAAAAAAACGATTCAACCTCTGGGCAAGAAACTTTCTACAACTGCAGTATTTTGCAAATTCTAATATATTTAAAGACTTAGACCTGTAATCCTACAGTGGCACATGATCTTTTTAATTAATTACAGTATCAGTGAATTCTTACCAGTTTTTCAAAGAAACTTAGAATTTAATATTGTTAAAGATAAAGCTACCTTTGAAAGAACTAAAAATTATCATTTAAAAAACTGTATTAGGGCCTCCCTTCTGGAGCAAAGGGTTGACACAACCTAGGAAACTAACCGCAGCCTCTGCAGCACGAGTTTGATTCCTGGCCAGGGAGCAACCCATATGGCGCAGCAGACCTCTTCTGACTCGCCCACTGCTCCCCTCAAGTGTATTTCAGCCAGTCTACCTGTTCTGTTCCCCACTCTGTCTCTGATAAATCCTCTCACTCCCCACACCCCTGGCATATACCCCCCATTCTTGTGTGCATAAATAAATCTTGGAAAAAAAACTGAATTAGATGAGATTAAAATAAATAATTAGTATCTTTACTAGACATAAGACCTGAAACCATAAAATATATAGAAGGAAATATAGGCGAAACACTACGTGATTTGCACATCAAAGACATCTTTACAGACACATCACCCAAAGCAGTGATAGTGAAGGCAAAGATAAACAGCTGGGACTACATCAAATTAAAGAGCTTCTGCACAGCAAAAGAGACAATAACAAAAACAAAGAGAAACCCCACCAACTGGGAGAACATTTTTGCATCCAACACTAATGATAAAGGACTGATCACAAAAATCTGCAAAGAGCTGATGAGACTCAACAACAACAAAGAAAATAATCCAGTCAAAAAATGGGCAGAAGAGCTAAAAAGAAACTTCTCTGAAGAGGAAATACAAATGGCCAACAGGCATATGAAAAAATGTTCAACATCACTTGTCATCAGGGAAATGCAAATCAAAACTACCATGAGATACCATCTTACACCAGTGAGAATGGCACATATTAAAAAAACTAGCAACAACAAATGTTGGCGAGGGTGTGGAGAAAAAGGAACTCTTCTGCACTGTTGGTGGGAGTGCAAACTGGTCCAACCACTGTGGAGAGCTGTGTGGAGATTTCTGGACCTACTAAACATAGAGCTTCCATATGATCCAGCAATTCCACTCCTAGGTATTTACCCAAAGGACACAGAAACATCAATTCCAAAGAACACCTGCACCCCTATGTTTATAGCAGCACTGTGTACAATAGCTAAGCTTTGGAAACAACCCAAATGCCCAAAAATAGATGACTGGATCAAGAAGATGTGGTACATATATACCATGGAATATTACTCAGCATTCAAAAAAGATAAACACATGCAATTTGCAGCAACATGGATGGCGCTGGAAGGGATCATGCTCAGCGAAATAAGCCAAAAAGAAAAAGAAAAATACCGGATGGTCTCACTCATAGCAGGAATCTAGAAAACTTAAATAAGGGACCAGGAAAACGAATAACTATAAGAAAGTGAAAATCAAAATCAACAAAAAACTACGAACCAGAGACACTTTTAAGGGGGCGGGGGTGGGAGGGGAGAGATTGGGGTCAGAATGGGGGGGCTGCAATTGTATGGGGAATATAAAAATAAAATGTATTATTAAAAAAATAAATAAATAAATAAATAAATAAAATAAAATAAATAATTAGTATCTTTGCTTCACTTGTAATACAACAATGTAAATTAAAGTTTTCTAGGAATCTGGTATTTCTTCCAAGTGATCTCAACTTAAATTTGGCCTCTAATAGTATAAATCTCAAGAGTGAAAAGAAAGGAGGAAAAGGATATTTCTGGGTGATATTTTGATTTGATCAACAAGAGGTAGCATGTGTGGTCATTAAATTGGAAAAAGAAAGGTTTATGGGAATCATGGTCAAAATTTAACAGCTAACTGAATAGCTAGCTACATAAAGCTATGGCTTATAGATGTCTAACTTAAAGAAAAGATCTTACCTATATGAATATAAATCAGTTTCCTTTAGGCTGTGTGTAATAACAAAAGCTCATTAAAATTCTACTTTAAAAAAACTCTAGCTCATTTACCAAAATAGTTTCATCATAAAGACATGTTCTATAGCTACTAACCAGAAATATCCTTGTATAACCAGCACACTGGTTTTCTATGAACATTGAATGGATAAAATTCCAATGTACAAGTTAGCATTTAGAGCATGACACTATATCACGTAATAATAAATACAAAATGAGTATGACAAATATGTACTTAAAACACATATATAAACTCAGTCTTTAAAACAACCCTTCAAAGATAATCTCCACAGAAAAGAGCAATTAAAATGTTTTCTGTTCTGAGAAAATATAGTTTGACATTAGTGTTGAGAAATGGCTAAAATCAGCTATACTTTATAGTTCATTTAATAAGTTATACAGGATTGGGACTACGCCAAGTATTCATAAGAGCCCAAATAACAGGTACCACTACCTTCCTTAGAAGGTTGCACACCTAGTAAGTGGTAAAAATAGCTTCAAACCTATATTGCTCTAAAATACATCACCCTATTCTCTCAACTTAAAAAAAATGCACTAAGTGAAATAATAGTTTTTCCTACTCTAAAGTCAATCTGTAAGACATTATGCAATATTTAATATTTCCTGTAATTACCTTGATTTTTTTCAGCTTCTTCTACAGAACCAATATATTTAGTAGACACTTGGTGATTATCTAATGAAGGGTCTAATGCATAACCTGAAAGAAAAAAGTACACATTATCCTTATTTAAATTTTTTTTAATAGAAGTAACATTGCATTATAGTATCATGTAATTTTCAGGTGTGCATCAGCCACCTGTACTTTTTACTAAAAAAATTACAAACTGTTGACTCCATTTTTTCCATTACACCTATTTTACTACTATGCAAATAATACTCACTTCACATTTTCCTTCCTAGATTTTGAAAATGGCCTGTAATTTAGTACCAATCCTTCTTTAGAATAATTAACCCAAATCTCACGCTGAACCACAAATGACTTCAACTGAGTAAGAAATATCTTATAGAATGATATACAATGTCATAGCAAATTGACTTAAATTTTCTAGGCGCTTAAAATGTACATTATATATCTGAAAGTTTAGAAACCACTTTCTTTTTATTTTTGGAAATATGGTGTACTTTATCAAACTAAATAAATTAAATACTATCAAAAAAAGAAATGGAGTAAGGAGAATACAAAATCTAGCAATTATTTTGAAAATGCCATTCTCAATAAAAAGTCTTGCCTTCCAATTAAATAGGATATATTTCTACTTCATAAATGAATACTTGTATTTCCTTGCTAGGGGAAGTAAGGATATCTAACAGCATGCGAATATAGTCCTTCAACTAATGATAGAATACGTAGCTACATATTAATGTGGTCTTCAGTGGTCTATGAAAACAAGTAAAGAATATTTAAATCAATTTTTCCTCAAGTAGGGATGCTAGCATGAGAAATATTTGGTAAAGTCAGTTTTAATAATAATTGAGCATATTCACAACAGAGAGCAAGATCATTAATCAGTTTTTGCCTTTGATCCATGTAATTAATCATGGACGGCATAAAGTAATAGACTATTTTTTTTAAAAAAGTAAGTATATCCAGTGGATATAATTAACATTTTAATTTTCCAACTAAATATTAAAGAACTTCTTTTGGGGAACAAAAAACAGACATATGTTTTCTTATCATCAAACATATTTTTCAAACAAGCTAATATGTAGGTGTTCAACTCACCCTTATGATATGCTAGAATAGAACCAACCACCTGGCTATTAGCACATTTGCATATAGTTTTTTTCAGTGTTAAAATATGTTCTTAGCCAGAGGAGAAAGCTTGATGGCAGAAAAGCAGCTTTGGAGTAGAATCTCTGAAATAACAGGTTCAAATCCCATAAGTTATGTTATCTTTCATCTCTTTGATGTACAGAAAAGTGTTCTATAAATAATTTTCAAAAAATGAGACTTTATAAGGCTCATACAAAATTTAGACCAACTCACCCTAAGTTAAAAATCTCCACCATAAAATTTTATCTAGACTGTAATTGTATCTTGAAGGATATTTCTGTCTGTATAAAAGGCATTACATTATGTGTTTGGAAAGTAGGAGACAGGAAAGGAAGATCTTCCTTGTTCCTTGTGGTGTCTGTGTAAGCACCAACCCCCAGCGCATGTGGCCATAGTCTTTTTTCCTGAGAAAAAGACTCAAGAGACTTAAGGAACTTGCCCCACCATCCTCTGGTAAAATCTTTAGTGCCACTGTCATCATTACCACTACTGCCCCCCAATTCAAGTAATTAATGATAATGGTATATTTCCTTTACAAATAAGTAAAATAATTTAACTGTATGTCCTACTAGAAGCCAGCCAATGACAGGACAAGATATAACATTTAATACTACAGAATTTCAGTCCAGTTAGTTTTCTACTATATTTCAAATATTAATATCTGCATTTTAGTCCTGAAATAGTCTCATCTATCTTTCGGAAGTTTATTTTCCATTTTAGGTTTTTAACAGTTAATGTCTACATTCTTCCTTTGTAGGTCTATTTGAAACAGCTCTAATAATATCAGTTTAATATTATTAGAGTTTTAAGTTAATTAGTACTACTATCTCAACAGGTAAAAGAAGATACTATAAACAAGCTGTATAAGAATGTTCAAATATACTAGTAGTCCAAAAGAATAAAAGTAAAATAAAGTTCAACAATATTCTGATAATCAAACACAGGAAAAACAATCATACAGGTCTTGGGTCAAGGGAATAGGACTTTCTCACATGATGGTGGCAGTTAAGTTGGGAGAATTCATTGAGAAAGCAATTTGACAAAATATAACAAAAGCTTTAAAAACATTTATACTCTGATCTATTTCTGGACATTAGTTCTTGTCAGATGTATGATATGCAAATATTTTCTCACATTCAGTAAGATGTCTTCGTTTTAAGGATGGTTTCTTTTGCTGTTGCAGAAGCTTTTTAGTTTGATAGTCCCTTTATTTACACTTGCTTTTGTTTCCTTTGCCATTAAAAGTGAGTCACCAAAGACATCTCTGAACCCAGTGTCTTGGATGTTTTGACTACATTTCATTCTATATATTTTATGGTTTTGGCTCTTAACCAAGTCTTCAATCAATTTTGAATTAATTTTTGTGTATTGTGTGAGCTAGTGGCTCAGTTTCCCAAGTCCATTTGTCGGAAAGACTTTCTCCATTGCATATTTTAGGTTCCTTTGTTGTAGATTTAACTGTCTATGTAAGTGTGGGTTTATGTCACAGCTAAAATTCTATTCCTTTGGTCTGTGTGTCTATTTTTCTTTCAATACTATTCTGTTTTGATCACTACACATTGGTAGTATAGTTTGAAGTCTGGAAATATGGCATCTGTCTTCTTTTATGTTAGGACTGCTTTGGCTATTTGGGGTCATTCATTGTTCCATATAACTTTCAGTAATGTTTGTTCTATTTCTTTGAAGAATGCATTGAAGCTTTGTAGGGATTGCATTGACTCTGGATGTTGCTTTGAGTAAAATGGGTATTATAACAATGTTAATTTTTCTAACCCAAGAGCATGTTTCCATTTTGTGTGTGTGACCTATTTCTTTTAACAATATCTTACAGTTTTCATTGTATATGTCTTTTCATCTTCATTAAATTACTCCTTAGTATTCTTTTTTTAAAAATTTATTTATTTTTATACAAGAGCTGGGGTACGGGACAGAGGGGCGGGAGGGTGAGAGGATTCACCAGATACAGAGCGAGGAGCAGAACAGGTAGACAACCGAAATACACTGCTGAGGGGAGCAGCGGGCGAGACAGGAGCCGTCTACCATGCAATGTGGGACTCTCCCTGGCCGGCCGGGAATCGAACCCGTGCTACAGAGGCTGCGCACAGCTTCACAGCATGTTGCTCAACCCGCTGTGCCACAGGGACGGCTCAGTATTAATTCTTTTTGTGATTACATATAGGATTGTTTTCTTGATTTCCTTAATCTTTTGGTTTGTTGCTGAAACAGGAATACAATTAGTTAATGTATATTAGCTTTGGAGCCTGCCACTTTACTATACTGATTGTTTCTAATAGTTTCTCCAGTCAAGTTTTTAGGGTTTTAAAGTTTGTCATCTGCAAATAGTGATTATTTTATTTCTTTCCCAATTTGGATTTCTTTTATATCTTCCTCTTGCCTAACTGCTTTAGCTAGGACTTCCAATATAATGTTGAATAGTAGCAGTGGAAGTGGATATCCTTGTCTTGTACCTGATCTTAGAGAAAACCTTTCAGATTTTCACCACTAAATATCTTAATTTCTGAGATGTCTGTTGTAAAGTCTCTATTTCTGATTTGAATTTACTAGAGGAGTTCTGTCCATTTTTTTCTCAGTGAGTCAAGCCAAAGGTTTGTCATATATGGCCTTTATTATGCTGAGATAGGTTTCTTCTATCCCTATTTTTTGAGATTTTTATCATAAATGGATGTTGATTCTTGTCAAATCCTTTCTCTGTATCTACTGATATGATCATATCCTTGTATTCTTGGAATGGATCCCACTTGGTTATGATGTATGATCCTTTTAATGTAGTGCTGAATCAATTTGCTAAGATTTTGTCGAGGATTTCTGCATCTATGTTTATCAGAAAGATTGGTCTGTGGCTTTCTTTTTTTGAGATGCTTTTGTCTGCCTTTGGTATCAGAGTAATGCTGGCTTCATAAAATGTATTTGGAAGCCTTCCCAATACCTCAATATTCTGGAAGAGTTTGAAAAGGAGAGGTATCAGTTCATCTTTGGCAGAGCTCACTAGTGAAACCATCCAGTCTTAGGGCTTTTGTTTCTTGGGAGGCTTTTAACTATTTTTTCAATCTTTACTTGTAATTGATTTGTTCAGCTTTTCTATTTATTCCTGATGCTGTATTGGAAGATTGTATGCTCCTACTAATCTGTCCATTTCTTATAGGTTTACCCATTTTATTGGCATAAAGATGTTCATAGTAGTCTTTTATGATCTTCTGAATTTCTGAGAAGTCTGTTGTAATGTCTCTGTTTCTGATTCAAATTTACTAGAGTTCTGTCCATTTTTTTCTTAGTGAGTCTGACCAAAGGTTTGTCTATTTTGTTCTTTTTTACAAAGAACCAGTTTTTGGCTTCATTGATCTTTTAGATTACCTCTTTGATTTCTACTTTGTTTATTTCTGCTCTAATTTTTATTACTTTCTTCCTTCTAATAGTTTTTTTTTTTTCTTCCACTCACTTAAGGTGTAAGTCTAGATTATTTATTTGAGCTTCTTATTGCTTGATGTGGGCTTATATTGCAATATATTACCCTTTTAGTACTGCTTTTGCTGTGTCCCATAGATTCTTGTAGGTTTTGTCTTCAGTCCTATTTGTCTCTAGGTATTTTTTTAATCTATTCTTTGATTTTCTCATTAACTCAAAAGTCATTTAACGGTACACTGTTCAGTCTCCATATAGCAGAGGTTCTTCTGGCTTTCTTTCTATGATTGATTTATAGTTTGATACTGTTGTGATCAGAAAAGATACTTGATATAATTTCAAGATCTATGGATTTATTTACACTTGATTTGTGATCTAACATGTGGTCTATTTTTGAGAATTATCCTTGTGCACTTGAGAAGAAAGTGTACTTGGCTTTTTTTTGGGCACAGTCCCCATTAAACCCATTCTACTCATTGATAAAATTGGAGGGTTGAGTCCCCTACTACTGTGTTGCTGCCACTGTCTGTTTTTAGGTTTGTCAATAGTTTCCTTTGTTCCTTTGTTTGGGGCACATATATTTACTTTCCCTGGGATCCCTGTTGTGCCTTCAGCCTGCTGATGTGTACCCCTGCTCCTGAGCACAGTCTCCTGGTGTTTCTCTCTCCCCACCTCCAGTTCAATGAAGCAGTCTCTCTTCTTGTGTCAAAGTCTGTGTTGATCTCCTATGTCTAAGGGGTGTACCCATTTTACCCCAAGGGACTCTGTGGGTACACTCCCAAGAGGATCATCTAACAGTAAATTATCCCTCTAATTTACTGTTAGATGATCCTCTTGGGAGTGAAGCAAGGAACCTCCTCTGTCACTATATTGGTTCATCTCTAGGCATGCTATCTTAATGGTGATTTTTGGCACACTTTTCAGTCAGTTATAAAATGGCCTTGGTGAAAGATGGTCCAATACATGGCAATTCTTTTTATATGGCAATTCTCTAATATATGGTACTTTTCAAGAATATATTGTGATAAGTAACTATCTGTATACCTCTAAACTAGTTTACAATGAATTACTTTGTGTTACTCACTAAAAATCAGGAAAAAACTTAACTTTCCAACAATAGAATAATAATATAAATTATGTTCTAGCTAATTAGTGGTATTACAGACTTCATAAAAATGATAGGCTTTAAGATTATACAGTCACACTGAAAAATGACTATGATGGAACACTGAATAAAAATGTGCTATGTAAAATTTTTAGTATAGGAGGATTAAGCTCTGTAATACAAGTATGCATATGAAAAAGACTTGGAGAGATAAAGATCATAATGCTAAAGTAGATATTCTGTATAGTGGGATTGAAGGTAACCTTTTTCTTCTCAAATGTTTTAGACATTTTTTCCCCCCATGAAAATAGCTTATTAAAAAGCACACTTAACATATGAGATTATTTTAGGCCTAAATTGCAAATATGCATAATATTTCATATGATAGTGTTTTCTTGATATTTTTGGTCCTATAATAATAATGGAAGTTATTGTTTGATGGAACAAAAAATTTCATTTCAAATTTAAAAAATTCTATTAATAAAAAAATAAGGAGGTATTAGAATTCTAACTGCAAAGAAAACTTAAGAAAAAAGAAATGTGCCGATATCGACAAATGTGATTATTAAATCTATTATAAAGAAAATTCAAAGTTTTCTTTTTTAAAAACTCTTGTGGAAAGAAACACCAGCACAAGTAATTAATTCATAAAGAGGATCACAACAAGCATAAAAACATCCCTATTCACTTTGTTCATCCACCTCTACCAAAAAGTTCTTCAAAGCATAAGATGATCAAGATATCTGTTAACCTACAGATGCAGATTATAGGAATAGAAAGGAAAGGCACTACAAATATGGACAAATCTGATATAAGTGACCAAAATTCATGATCCATGTAACTTTAGTTGTAAGGACATTATAAAGAATATCTTCTTTTAGAGGGAGTTCTCATTTTATTATGCACATTTACTTTTTAAAGTTTTACCATTAGTAGGACAATTATTTTACACAATGAAGACCTGTTTATTCTACTTCCTGATGTCCCTCAGAAAACTTCTAAGTGCTAAGGTTTGAGAAAGAGTAAAGTCAACTAGTAAGATAAGTCAACTATAAGATAAAAATGGAACTTCTTAATACTATCCTGTCATTTATCAACTTCAACAGCTATATGCACATAATGGACATCCAATGACAAAAATTCATTATCATTTACAACAGAGAAATTGTTTTTAAGAACACAGAATATTTTTACTACTCAGAAATCAAGGCAGATTTAGAATGACAGCTAAAATTATTACTTTACATCCTTGTTTATAAAATTATATATAATATGTATAACACACACTGCTCTTTTCAAAGAATCCAGAATAATAAATGTTAAAAGCCAGAAGATAAAATAGATTTATACACCATTTCCTATAAAATGAAACTGCATAGAAGCCTTACCATATGTAGCAAAAGTTCTTCTTTGCTGTTCAAACATAAAATCATTGATATGGGCTGGTTCAGCATATCCCGAAAGCATATTTCTAGGTGCAGCCATTTGCTGTGTCCTAAAGGGATTTTCTGGTCCAAACTGCAAAGTACCAATATAAAAAAAACAAAATAAAACAAAAAAAAAACCCCATCAAGTTCTGAGTGTATAAAGCTAGAATTATTAAAATAATACACAATGTACAATGTAGTTTCAACTGAAAAATCATCACAAGCCCAAATAACCTATATAGGAACATGCTCACCTCACATAGTTCAGTATAATTGGACAATAACTGATTAGAACTATTAGTGTCTAGGACAGGAGAGGAATCTTACCCAATTCTACAATGCTGCTATTTAAATTTAACTTAATTACAATAAAATATTCAGTTCCTCACAGTAGCCACATTTTAAGAGTGCAATAGCTATGTATGTTTATTGACAACTACATTTCCAGTATCTCAGGAAGTCCTATTTGACCCTATGGCTCTACATAATGGAGTCTTACTACAGTTTTATCTAAACCATAATAAGGGTGATTTTTGTTGATTATTGTATCAATAATGGCACAATGATACAATTAAAAAGTAAAAGACATGTATCTCCCACTGGAGTGTGAATCCTTAATACTTACCACAGAGCCTGGCAATAGAAAGCACTAAAGAAGGAAAGATTAGTCAGAATCCCACTGAGGGCAGAGGATAGGAAAAGAGATAATAAAAGTAAAATGCTTGAAAAAGTCCCTAAGGAAAGACATTACAAAACTTCCTTATAGTAAATAATTTTATTGATTAACAGGACCAAGACTAGAACAAACCCTGGTCTATTCCATTCTACTACATCATAACATTCCTAAACTTACATTCACAGTCTCTATAAAAAAGTAGGTGAAATGTGTGAGAATAGATTAAGTGCTATTAACTTAATGCTAATATAAAAGATATTGGGGAAATTCAACTCTTCCCTTTTTGTTTTAAAATAAAATGAATTCCTCACTTTGGAAATACTAGAATTAGCCTAGATATTTTCATTTGAATTCAGGAAGGTCTACTGTTATGGTCAAATGTTTTGACACTAGAACATCTTGAATCACTACCATCAGAAACCACCTTTTCTATGATACATTTTCAGAGTCATAAATTATTGATCTTCTCATAACAACAATCCTGTCTTCTTTAGATTGAAATATTATACTATGCATGGAAATATGAATTTAAATGACATTGGAGTTGCCTTATAATTTTTTTCTGCTTTACAAGAAAATAAATTACTACACTATTGCTTTCTATTGACAGTTTCAATTTCTATGTTTGAAATGACTCAATCTTAACATATCTGGTATATATAGCTTATACTACTATTTATCTTAAATAAGGAATAGTACAAATCTTTGCAGCACATATTAGTTCTTTCTGTGCTGGTGGTTGGAATGTAGGAGGAAAAAAATCTAGATCGCCAAATGCTAGAAGTTACAATTCATATTTCATTCAGTCAAGAAATTTATAACAAAAACAAAGAACATTCATAAAATCAAAGATAATAAAATGTTTCAAAAGTTTCTCAGATGCTCAGCCTGCTAATAGTTACCATCTGCACAGCAGCAGCTGATAAGATTTTAGAGAAAAATTAAAAAAAAAAAAAAGATAAAAATCCTCATTGCCTTTATTGCTACTCCAATAACATAAAATAAATGACCAATCACTGTACTTAGTTTTCAATTTAAAAAAATAAATGATAATTTTTATAGTCTTAGTAAGATTTTACAAAGAAAACAATTCTACAGGCCATAATTATCAAATTGGCTCTGCCTTTTAATGAGAAATGCTTGGTGTTAAAGAACTTTATTTCTATAGGACTACAGATCTACATATGATAGTAAATACATTGTATATCGGGCTCTATTCCTAAATGTGCTTATATTCAACAAATATTTAATTTGAGATAATAAAAAGTCTTCTAATAAAGGATTTTTGTATGAAGGGAGGATTCGTTTACATTTGGCTCAGCTTAACTGCTTGATTACTGGCAGCTCAGAGCTGAACTCAATGACATTAAATGTCAACAAAGGTGGAGAATGTTATTCAGAAGGATTCACCTTGTGCGACTATTCAAAAAATTGTCTTCCAGATTTTCTTGGTCTCTACAAATATGTACCTCTCTTATTGGGTGAACCAATAAAAAACAAAACCACTAAAAAAACTCGCAAAATGATTTTCTGAATATTTTTCAATTTTTTTTGTAGTCAATGAAGTTTAGGAGTAAATCTGTATTCAAGTGATTTTAAAAAACATATTCAAGATAATTGGGTATAAATATCATTTTTTAGTTAACATCTAATAAGTTCAGCTAATAGTTTGAAGTACATCATAGTCAACAGAATTTAACCTCCCTATATAAAACTTACACATTTAAGTATTAATTCAGATCATTGCACCAAAAAGAATGTATAATGGTTCTGAGAAAAAGTGGTAATAAGTAACCTTACATTTTTCACCTAAGTAAATTAGTGATTTATGTATAGAGTTGGGAGAAAAGCATTTTTTTTTTTTAAAGATTTATTTATTTATACAAGCACTGGGTACAGTCAGAAGCGCGGGAGAGTGAGAGAATTCACCAGAGCCAGAGCGGGAGCAGAACAGGCAGAGTGATGAAGTACACTGCTGAGGGGAGCAGCGGGTGGCGGGAGAGGTCTACGGGCCATGTGGGACCCTCGACCGGCGGACGGGGATCGAACCGGTGCTGTAGAGGCTGCGGGCAGCTTCGCAACCCAGCGCTCAACTGCTGCGCCATCGGGGAGGCCCGAGAAAAGCATTTTTAATTGTTAAGATACTGGTTGATACATATAAGAGATATGCATATTGTAAGGCAGTGGTCAAAGTCTTCAATGAGTACAGTTTCTCAGCAGAATATCACAGCATTACAATTAAGAAAATTTATAGTAAAAAAATGATTACATGAAATCATAACCATAAGTTGACATATAGAATAAAAACTCCAGGTTATTGAAGTAAAAAATCATATTACACTTAGATTGTTGTTTTTCATTAATATTTAGTGCAACCGTCAATGCTTAAAAACATTTATAAACATGGGCCTCCCTGGTGGCGCAAGCAGTTGAGCGCAGTGCTGTGAAGCTGTCCGTAGCCTCTGCAGTGCCGGTTCGATCCCCACTGGCCTCGGGGCAACCCATATGGCGAGCAGATCTCTTCTTTCTTGTCCGCTGCTCCCCTCAGCAGTGCATTTCGTCAGTCTGTCTGTTGTGTTCCCCGCTTTGTCTCTGGTGAATTCTCTCACCCTCCCACGCATCTAGCCTGTACCCCGGCTCTTGTATAAATAAAAATAAATCTTAAAAAAAAATTTATAAACAAGCTTTAAGGTGAGACAAATGTGTTGGTTAACAATTATTTTCTACAAATTTGGAAAAGATCACCACAGATCAATTTTATTGGCAGAACATCTCAATCTTATAAGACATAAGCACAGTTTATTACTAATGTAAGAATATTTTAATAGTGCTGATTATATGAGGTTGGGCCCTACTTTCCTCATTTATACAAAAAAAAAAAAAACTGAGCTGTATGATTTATAAAGTTCATTCTAATAATATTTACAGCTGCCCTTACAGTCAGATTTTTAATAGTAAATGGCATTTTCCCCTCCTCACCTTTTATATATTTTTTTATTCTTAAAAGTACTATTATTTTAAGTACTATTATTTTAAGGAGTTTTAAGTTTTCTCTGAGGGCTTATGGGTTTTATATGAGCTTAGAGAAGTAACATTTTCATCTAAGCAGATCCAAAAAGGATTGAGTGAAAGGAAGAAAATGGCTAGACTAAAACAACAGTTATTGCATCTTCAATTTCTACATAGAATTTGAGAAAGCTTATCTGTATAAGTAGCTAGATGATTTAGCAAGTTTTTGGCTGAGAGGGAGAAACGGTATTTTATAAGGTAAAACAGCCAACTCACTTCACTGAATTAGCAAAGTCAAAAGCATGAGGTATACTCTGCAACTACCACAATGGCCTGATTCAAACTGATATTCCAGTACTAGAGCGATTGTTGAGTGATATGGATGGACCCAAATCCCCAGATATGCCACGTGCTGGCAGGATTTCAGTTTCCTTGCTATCAAATGAGGAAAAGAGTACTTACTTTATAGGGCTATAGTCAGGACTAAAGGCAATAAAGCAGATAAATGGTGGATAAATCTCTCACGGTTGTATCTGGCACCCAGTAATGGTATGGTAGCTTTTTTCATTCTACCCCTGTACTTTTCCATTATGCAAACCCATGCCAAATTAACCCTCTAAAAATCCAGCTGTGATTATGCCACTTCCCCATTAAAGAACCTTGGAAATCTCTTTATCATCTATTAAATCAAAACCAAATCCTTCATGTTGGTCCCCTATGCAATGTTAAATAAAATACCATTCTAGTCTTACCCCCCTTCTCTCCCCTATACTAGTTCTTTAGATCTTTTATGATTTGATTGGTGCTGTTCCCTTCTGCCTGTGATCTTTCCTCATAAAAACCTATCTAGCCATCAATGCCGATACTATTACTATAAATAATAACTACCATCTCCATTAAATGCTTACATTATGTCACTGAGTCACAGGGTTTCCTAAACACATTATATATTTTTAAACACATAATTTACCCTTTTAACTCACTAGAGTAGAATTTACCTCATTTCAACATGTAAAGACTAAGAAAACCAAGGTCAAAGCAAGAGTTAATAAGCAATCCATTTAACTATAAATCTCAAGTTCTTAACTGGAATTCCATTGTTTACTTCAAATATGACTGCTTTCATGGAACTTTTCCTAATCTTAACAAGCATATATTACCTCTCTTTAAATTTGAATAGTATTTTAAAGACATAATAGGAAATAGCCTGGTCCCTGTCTTTTCTAAAAATACACTTGCATATCATCTCTGGGAAACACTAGTTGAGGAGAAGGATTATATCCTCTTTCTAAGACTGGATTCTCAAAATATGGAACTTAAATTTCATATAGCAAAGTTCCTTTCCAGACTGCCAACTTATATGGATCCTAGTCATAAATTTGAAGTTTAATAATTTTTTATGTTACAGATAATCTATTTGGCAACCAGAAAAAATTATAATTTTTTTTCACTTTTCAGTTTCACTCTTAAAATGTCGACAACCAGCATCAACGTATTACTAGCATATTTTCTATATAGCCTACTTTCCATATTTAGAGGAGGTCCCCCAACCAAAGGGGGAAAAAAAAAACCCAGAACATTAAAGGACTGATAATCCCCAAAGAAAATAATAGGCCCCTCATCAATAGCATCACAAAAAACTTTGACCATTTCAATTTTTCTTGAAAGTTTTGAAAAGTGTAATTTATACAGCACTATACTAGGCTTAAGATCTGAAAATATGAGAAAAACTTACTTTACAGAAAATACACTGACATATGAATGCTATATACCACACTACTTGCAAATTTTCTCACTTTCTGACTTCAATGTCTCTATTTTATTGTAGTACATTTCATAAAAAAAAAGTCAAGAGGCATATATGTAATAATCTCTCTTCTTGGGCTGGCTAAGATGGTTCCAAGGGCTATGCAGCAGACTAAAGCTTGATAGGCTATGAGGATATAAAAAATAAGGGGATACAATTTAAGAATGTCTTTTTTTTTTTTTCAAAGATTTATTTTTATTTATATAAGAACTGGGGCACAGGCCAGAGGCAGGGGAGGATGAGAGAATTCACCAGAGCAGATTGGGGAGCAGAACAGGCAGACTGGCCGAAATACATTGCTGAGGGGAGCAGCAGGCGAGACAGGAGAGGTCTGCCCACCATGTGGGTTTCTCCCTGGCTGGCCGGGAATCGAACCCATGCTGTGGACAGCTTCACAGCACTGCGCTCAACCTACTGCTCATCTCCATCTTTAAAGTGCCTCTGAAAGAACTGGCCACTGAAGCCTTGTTTTATAATTATCTTTTCTGGCATCTCTATTGTATTTTGTCAGTCAAGTGTTTTTTTTTTTTCCTTTTTCAAAGGCACATTATCTAGACATTTAATCTTTTCCATAAAAACTTTTCTAAATGTACAGTTTCCACTGTTATTTTTCCTCCCTTTATTTTTTTAATCCTTCTATCACTGTTTATCATTATCAGCCATTTATTACTGTCAGAAAAAAAAAATCAAGATGGCTAAAGTATTAAGCAGAACAGGCATTCAAGCACTGTCTACTTCTGAGCAGTGACCATGTCAATATATTACCCTTTTTGAGAATTTAGCACAGCAGCATTTAGAATTAGATGTTTTATAATACACTATGCACTGACAATGCTAATAAACCAAATTTTTACCCTGATAGTTAATTTATACTATTCCCATGTCAATGCTGACAGGAAGATGTTAACTATTTGACATAGAAGAATTATGCATTTTAAGATTTCTTTTTTCCACAGACTGTTCCAAGTTATCAGACAATAGTGTATATATGTAGATAAATAGTAGGTTTTTTTTTTTTTTAAAGTATTCTATTTTAAAAGTTTAGGTACTTTTCACTTCATTTTTTTTTTTTAAAGATTTTATTTATTTATTTATACATATAAGCACTGGGTACAGTCAGAAGCGGGAGGGTGAGAGAATTCACCAGAGCCAGAGTGGGGAGCAGAGCAGGCAGAAGGACCAAAGTACACTGCTGAGGGGAGCAGCAGGCAGCAGGAGAGGTCTGCACGCCATGTGGGACCCTCCTCCCGTGGCTGGGGAGCAGCCAGGGATCGAACAGGCGCTGCAGAGGCTGCAGGCAGCTTCGCAACCCAGCTCTCAACCGCTGCGCCACTCGGGAGGCCCACTTTTCACTTCATTTTAGACAATAGGACATTTTCTAAAATTCTAAGCAGAACACTTTTGTGTAAAACTTTAAAAAATTCAACAGTTATTTGTCTACCCAAATATCATATAAATATCTTAGAAGGCAGAATCTTAAACAGTCTGTTTTCCTACCTCAGGAGCAAACATGGTCTCGTATGTAGGGTTATACTGAACTTCTTTAACAGCAGGGTCAAGGTGAACTCCAGTCTCCAAATCTTCCTAAAAGAAAACCAAATGAACATTAAAAATCTAACGAGTGCCAACTGTATTTTAAAAGCCATGATGTGATCTGATGGAGAGAATGTGAATCTTACCACAATTTAAAGAATAAAAAAATAGGTACATTAAGGTCACAACCATCCATTTAAATAGCAAAATTATATAATCACTACACCAATGCCATGATTAATAATTCTAATAATTGAACACTAATAAAATCAATGTTTATAGTTTTAGAGGTTAAAATGAACATGAATTTTTTTCCTTTCAAAATACCAACTGTATTCCATCTGAATAAATTAAAAATTTATAAATTGGTTAACACTATCGAAAGACTTAAGAGTCCAACTCTTCCTCTTTATTAACTCAAAAGACGTGATCGTCTGGTTCAATTTAGGAAGAAACACTCCTTCTTTATTAAGCAAATCTTTTCAGATATATACCCAAATGGTTCTTGGTTAGGGAATGTAGAGAAAACAAAAAGTGGCAGGGTACAGATGTTTCAACCTTCTCAAATTCATCTCCCAGCTGAATCAGAAAAACAATTTTTTTTTTAAAATATCACCAGTAGTCTTACATTTTATATCCTTACTGCCTAGTAGAATGGAGGGCACTCAGTGCATGTCCAATTAATATTTATTAATTTGAGGAAAGAAAAATAAAATCCATAGAGAAATTAAATATGATGAAGGCTGACCAAAGATCATTGAATTTGGTAAATATGTCACAAAAAAATTTTGCCAAAATAACTTTGGTAGTGGAGTATGGAAAGGCAGTTGAAAGGGACAAAGTCATAACTAAGATTTAGAAAAACAAGACTAAAAATGTTTTTTTCTTTCTTGGTGGTAGAGAAGAGATAGGGTGTGAGATTTAGGGATTTTCAGTGTAAAATTAGGGTATTTATTTATTTATTTATTTATTTATTTATATATACAAGAACCAGGGTACGGGCCAGAGGCGCGGGAGGGTGAGAGGATTCACCAGAGACAGAGTGGGGAATAGAACAGGTGGATTAACTGAAATACACTGCTGAGGGAAGCAGCGGGCGAGACAGGAGAGGTCTGCTGCACCATGTGGGACCCTCGCCAGCTGACCAGGATTGAACCTGCACTGCAGAGGCTGCAGACAGCTTCATAGTGCGGCGCTCAACCACCTGTGCCACCAGGAGAGGCCCAAGTTTGTTTTTTTCTTAAGAAAAGACTAGGTTAAATAGTTACTCAATCGTAAGCTGGAGTAAAGGATTGGGTAGGAAGAAACACATGACAAGGAGGAAGACTAATCAAAGGTATGGTTACCCTGGAAGAGATGGGAGGAGAAAAAATCCAGGACTTAGGGAGAAGATCAATCTCTGAGAAGAGGAGCGTTCTCTCTGAGATGAAATAGAAATGACAAAGACAAGAACGGGTGGTAGATGTTTGGAGCCTGAAGGAGATTTTGGGAGCCATAACTGATCTTTTTATTTTCTTTGTGTAGTCATGTGCACAGGCCTCTTCATAAGGCAAGTTTGGTAAGTTCAGATTAATTCAATTTCAGATGAAAAGGGAAGGAAACCCAATGGCATAGGTATAGGACTATAGGTGTTTTGATAGTCAGGTTGGTGTGGTTAACACATATCTGAGAAGTGTGAACCTATTCCCTTAAATCATATACGGAGTTGTAAACCAATTTACCTCAATAAAGAAAAAAAATTCCTTGTTTATTTGTACATTAAATTTATTTTTTTAAAGATTTATTTATTTATTTATTTATTTATACAAGAACTGGGGTACAGGCCAGATGCGCGGGAGGGTGAGAGGATTCACCAGTGACAGAGCGGGGAGTAGAACAGGCAGACTGACGAAATACACTGCTGAGGGGAGCAGCAGGTGTGACAGGAGAGGTCTGCCGCACCATGTGGGTTTCTCCCTGGCTGGCCGGGAATCGAACCCATGCTGTGGACAGCTTCACAGCACTGTGCTCAACCACCTGCTCCACCAGGGGAGGCTCTATGCATTAAATTTAGATTAGAATTTAAGTGAATGCATTTATCTGACTGAGCTCAAGTTACAGTCATGAACTTCAGCTGAGAGAATGAGAATCTACGTTGGTATCTGAATTCTGAAGGTTGAGGGTGGGGTAAGATGTTCCTCACATAAAATTCTGGTTTTTTAGATTTACTTGTTTTATTATTATTGTCTTTTATTTATACAATAGCTGGGGTACAGGCCAGAGGCGTGGGAGGGTGAGAGGATTCACCAGAGACAGAGTAGGGAGCAGCGAGTGAGACAGGAGAGGTCTGCCGTGCCATGTGGGAATCTCCCTGGCTGGCCAGGAATCAATCCCATGCTGCAGAGGCTGCGGACAGCTTCACAGCGCTGTGCTCAACATGCTGCGCCACCAGGGAGGCCCCTCACATAAAATTCTTAAAGAAGGGGGTACAAATGCTGGGCCATAAAAATACATATAAATATATTACTCTGGCAGGCACACTAGAATTTTCATTGATTAGACACAGCACTTTGCTTAGAGCTCAGTAGCAAAACTCAGTAACAAGTTCAAAGGGGATATATAAATTGCTAAACTGCATAAAAGCTAAATTAAACATTGTTCTCTTTTAATATTCAACTCCTAGTGACAAACTGCTTAAAACCACAGGAACTTAGCCACATTCACACCTCCCCAATGGATTTTACAGAATACAATTGGTATAATCACTTTATAATAAGGTTTATCAAATCTTTCTGATTAAGGGTATTTTAAATATTCTAAATTTGAATTATCTTGAACAGAGTGTACCATCAAAAACCAAATTTTAAAAGCACAATTTAAAACAGTAACTCTTTGTGTAAACCTCAGTGGCAACTATTAAATAATGTAATTTGGCTTCTGCTAAAATTATAGAACAATTTGAACAACTCTCAAGAAAATGCAGGGTTATTAATTTTATACTTAATTAAAAAGACTTGGCCAAGTCTACAACCTTATTTCAATATTCATGAGGAATTTAGTAACAATTAGGCATACAATTGAATTACCACAGAATTACAAAGGATTTCTATTCAGTTTTAATTATCTATAAAAAAGAAAGTACACTAAGGAAGGCCTTCCTATGGATCAAGTAAATTTACAGAATTTATCTTTTGTTGAGTCAAACTAATGAGAAAAAGTGAAATAATATTTACTTTTAAGTCACATTCACATACCTTATTTTGAACAAAGAAGAAAATAGATGTGAGGGCAAACTCTAGGCTATAAAGCAGAATGAAACTATTAATCATTATTATAAAGTGTTTATCAATTTATGGTATAGCTTTTTTTTTCTCCTAGAAAGTGGTAGTGAACAAACTTGCTAAGATGGGGGTTTAGGTGGGAAGGTAAGAATAGCCATTCAGGTAATGATATCATTTGAATCTGGCCATTAACAAATGAAGCTCATGAGTATGAGAAACATCACCTAAGAAGAAGAAATTTTAAAATATGCTTAAAATCAGAGGCAGACTTTTCATTTTACTTAAGACGGCTAAATGAAAGCAGGGAATAATAGGGGTAGAGTAACACAGTGACTGAAATGAAAGTCATGTCTGCTTTTATTTTATAACTTTAAAGTCAATTAATAAGCAGCTCATGTAACCAAAGAGAGCTTATTACATAATTATCAAAGTGCAAAAACTGACAATGTTGCATTTAAATAAATTTCTAACAGAAAAATAATCAGTCATACAGTGGAGAACATAAATGAGTTTAATTGACATCCTACCATAAGAGAACAGAGAACAGAACTAGACTATTATGTGACAAGGTAAGAACTGAGAGAAATATTATTCATTCAACAGTATTCTAGAAATACTGAAAGATCCACAATCCAAACCAATTGATTTCCAACTATAGAAGCAAATTCTGAGCAAGACAAAAAGAAATCCACATCTGTATGTCCTATGATGAATATAAAGCATGAAACTGTAACCCATTTAAAAGCAGTTGGGGGGTTACATATCCATGTCTTAAAAGTAATTAAAAGAAGAAAAAGTTATACTCAGCTGACTTGTTATCGGTAACAATGTAAATTAGAAGTTAGACTATTTCAATATGCTGAGAGAAAATAAATGTCAGCAAGCAAACTAAACCCAGTAAAAATATCCTTCAAGGAAAAACATTTAAAAGATAAACCAAAACTGAAAATAGTTGTCAACAGTTAACATTCACTAAAGGACATTCAATCTAAAGTATACACTACAGATCTCTTGCATGAGAGGCAAAAATCATATCATTCACTTTCATTTTGTGAGGTTTAAATGTATATAAAAAATACAGGGGACTAATAGCTGGAGTGGGGTGTACTGAATAATACCTCAGTGTTCTAATGTTCCTGCACAGTCCAGAAAGCAGCAAAGTTATTGATTAATTCAAACATATTTTAATTTCTAGAGATAACTACTTAAAAGAAACTGAGGGCATAAACAAACAAAACAAAAACCCTTAGATTCTGACAACAAAATGGTAGTTATTAGAGAAGAGTACAGGGGTAGGAAGAAAGGGTAGAAGGAGTCAACTGGATAGTGGTAGACGGTAACTAGCCCTTAGGTGGTCAGCATGATGTGATGGACACATTTGTCCAGGTGTGAAGATGTACTTCTGAAACTTACAGTCTTGAAAACCAGTGATACCTCATTTGTAAATGAGTAAAAGAAGTGAAGTGTTCAAAAGAACCCATAACGGAGGCCTAGCACACTAACTTTCTGCCTTTCTTCTTTTCTATTACATTATATTGAGACTAAAAAAAACATTCTGATGGTTCTATCTCAGAAGTTCTGATGAGTATTATTTTCCTTATTGATTTAGCTCGAAATATTTATTTTTCAGATTTTGTTCCATGCAATACTGAGAAGGCACATTATTTTAGGCACAGCCTAAAATATTTACTATATGGACCTTTACCCAAGTTTGCCAATACCTGGTCAGATTTTAAAAAGATGTTTTATTAGTGCCTGAAAACAATACTCTGCATTGAGAGCTATGTTCTTTATGTCCTTTAGTTTGCTAAATTTGTTCAAATTTTCTTTATCATTATTCATAGTTTATGCTTGTTATAGCAATTACTGAAAGATGTATTAAAATCTCCCACTGTGATGGTAGATTTTTTGATTTCTCCTTGTAGTCCTATTAAGTTTTGCTTGAAGAGTTTGAGTTTACATTAAGTGTGTACAAAATTAAAACTGTTATACACCTTTTTATGAATGAATCTTGTATCTTTATGAACTGACCCTTTTTATTTTAAAGTTTATTTTATTGATCTTATTACAACCTATGTACTTTCTTTTGCTTTGAATTAGCCTGATATGTTCTTTTTTAATCATTTAACTTTTTACTTTTCCAAACATCTTAGCAAGCAAAGCAAGAAAAAAAAATTGAAAAGAAATAAATATTGCAAGAAAAAAATACTGTCATATTTGCAGCTAACAGGAGTATGTTAGTAAGATCAGTTAGAAAATTAAAGCATGCTATTTATTAATACAATAGCATAAAAAAATACCCGCCAAGAAATATCTGCAACAAAACTATACAAGACATTGATGGAGAAAATTAAAAACTTTGGAATAAAATAAAAATCCAAAGAAGACCTAAACAAATGAATAGATATAACATAGCCTGCCAACTGATCTACGATTCAATGCAATCCCAAATAAAAATCCTCTCTGGGCATGTCAAACTTTAAAAGTTAATTCTAAACTGTAACTGGGGCCAAGGATAGACAAGACATTCTTGAATAACAACCAAAAAAGATGTGTGGGCAGGAGGGAAATACCTTATAAAGATCAGATCATATTATTAAAGATGTGCATAACATAAACAAATAATTCCATATATGTTAATAACTAAAACATAAAAAGCAAAGAAAAGTTAAATGGGAGAATATTTTTATAACTTTAGGATAAGGAAGGAGTACGCAAACAAGAAACAGGAACCACAATCCATTAAGGAATAATTTGATAAGACTATACTAAATAACTTTTTTAAAAAAGATTTATTTATTCATACATACAAGAACCAGGGTACAGGCCAGATGTGCGGGAGGGTGAGAGGATTCACCTGAGACAGAGTGGGGAACAGAACAGGCAGATTGACTGAAATACACTGCTGAGGGGAGCAGCGGGTGAGGCAGGAGAGGTCTGCTGCACCATGTGGGACCCTCGCCGGCCAGCCGGGATCGAACCTGCGCTGCAGAGGCTGCAGACAGCTTCATAGCACTGCGCTCAACCGTCTGCACCACCGGGGGAGGCCCTAAATAACTTTTTTTTTATCAGACAGTGAAGAGAGTGAGAAGATAAACCACTAAGTGGAAAATATATTTCCATAATTGATAAAGGACAGTATCCAGAATAAATATCTGCAAATCAAAAAGAAAATCAAATGTCACTTCAAAAAGGAAAAAAATCATCAACAGCATATAAAATATGCTCAATCTCATCAGTATTCAGGAAAATGGATTAAAAACCTGCATAAGTTTATAGTCTGCCAAAATTCTTGCTATTACTCACAATACACTTAGCCAAATACAGACGTTATTTGTATGCTTCACATCTCCCTTGGTTATTTTCAATCATTACATTTACTATGAGTAAGCTTTTTTTTTTTTTTGGCATCTATACACTGGGGCGGGAGGTCCTGCCTGAGCTCCACATCTAAAGGACCTCTGGTACTTCATACAAACTTCCTGGATTTTCTTACTTAAAACTGAAGTGACTGAATTAAGTGAGTTCTAGAGACATCCCTTCACCAACCCCCCCCCCAATCAATCAATGCACACCGATTTCTTTTGTATTTCCTCTTTCATTAATTCTCTTACCAAATATATTTCCCTAATCTTGTGTATTAGGCACTGGAGACATTAAGACAAGGCCATGACAATCTTTGGTCCTCAGGATTTCACAACAGTTCAAGGGGAAAAAAGAGTTGACAAATCATAGCAATGTGGCAAGTGTTACAACTGAGATATGAAAAGAGGGCTTAGGTAGTGAGAGGGGAAATGAACACTGACAGTGAAGTAGGGTATGGGACGGATTTTAAGCAAAGAGACTAATATGAGCAAAATCTTGAGTAGAAAAATAATAGAAGTCGGGGGGCCTGTAGAAAGGTCAGCCTGGGAGAATGACAGGCCTCCTATGTTACATAAGGAACTTAGAAATTGTTCAGTAAGCAACCTGGTGTCTTCCAGTGGGGAAGTGATACAACATTGGAATTCAGAAAAATCACTCTGCATGCACTGTGTTAGGTAAACACGATAACCGCTTCTCTGGCTGAATGGGGTAATGACCTAGGAGACAAGAAAGAAGGAAATAGAAAGACCATTAGAGTATTATTAAAATTAAAAAAAACAAAGAATCTGAACTAAACAGGTGACAGAAGAGGAAAGACATTTGAGAAATGGTACTGAATCACAATGGACAGGTTGAAAAGAAAGAAAAGACAAGAATAACTTCTGGGAGAAATAAGGAAGATATAAAGTAAGGTTGTGCAGTGAAAGTGGAAAGGAAGGACTTGCTATGAGAGAAATTAATGAAGCAGAAATATTACCAGCTGAATGACTACCTTTTTGAAATGACTAGCTTTGAAGCGGAGGCCGAGGGAGAAAAAAAAGACCAATCGGTTCTTGACACGAACTAATAGGTGCGTTGTGGGATCACTAATCAAAATGGGAAAAGCAGAAGAAATGAATTTTGAGGGAAATATAACAGGTTAATTTTTCAGCATATTGGATTGGAATACGAGAGGGTCATCTCGGAAGAGAACTTTAATAGCTCTGGAGCTGATAAGGAATTTAAGTTGGAAATAATAGCCGGCACTATTACCTGTGCTTAACATGCTTTATGACAAACCTCTAGCCCCACGAGATAAGTTTTAACCCTATTTTACAGATGAAAAAAAAAAAAAAACAACCCACAAACAACTTAGCCACAGAGCACTTAAGTAACTTATTCATGGTCTACCTTGGTAAGTGGTGGAGGCAGGATCTGAATCCTGACAGTTTTGATTTTAAGGTCTGTGCTAACCACTCCTCAGTGTTCACCTACGAGTGAGTCATCAGTAGCACAGATTGCAGTTGAAGGCATGAAAGAGTATGAGAGGTGCAAAGAGGAGTAAGAGCAGAGTCCTGGAAAACATAAATATTGCAAGGGAGGGCAGAAGCACAAGGGATCAGAAGGCTGACCAGGACCTTCTTGGTGGTATAGGAGTTAAGTCTCAGTGCTGTCACCACTACCACAGTGGACACAGCGGACCTCTCCTATCTCACTGCTGCTCCCCTAGCAGTGTATTTCAGTAAAATCTGCCTGTTCTGCTCCCTACTCTGTCTCTGGTCAATGCTCTCACACCCCCACCCCTGGCCTACACCCCACTTCTTATATAAATAAATAAATAAATAAATAAATCTTAAAAAACAAAAAAAGGTTGAAAATGGACATGGTCCCAAGGAAGATAAAGGTGAAGAAAGTTTCAAGAACTTTTTAACAGTCACTTGATGCAGATACTGAAGTCAGATGCCAGGTCAATGACATTACTCTGGGAGGGTCCTCAAGCTAGCGCTATGCTACACTGAGTCGAAGGGAAAATGAGATGAAATGACAGCATTCCCAAAAGCTGAGCTGTGAACAGAATGAAGATTCAGGAGGTTGCTGGTGGGGTTGAGTTGGGGGAAATGTTTTATTATAAAGATAGCACTGTAAGTGTTCTTTCGTGCCAAATGTCCATTAGTAAAAAGTAAAATTCATATATTGATCATTAAAAACCTGTAGAAGACTTCTTAAGTTATAAAACTAGACTTGGAAACATCTTAAATACATTTCTATACTCTTCCTCTCCTCACCACATCTTGGGTTTCTGATCACCCCATTAGGCTCTACTGGGTCTGTGCTCCCAACTAGTGGATGCTCCCAGCAGACCCTCAACACAATAAATCAGTTTCTCAAACACAATAAATTCTTTCCGGTCTCCTTTGTCTGGAAACCCTTGCCTTAGCCTGCACAATCTGGCTTCTAATTCTTCACAGGCACTTTTTCAAACAGTATTTTCCTGACCAATCTATGGAAGTCATACTCCTAACTTTATTCTCTATCTACTTACCTTCTGTCTCCATCATGATATTCTATTTTGTTCCTTTCAGTACTCAATCCAATCTGTAACCACTTTATTTGTTCAGATATTGGCTACCTTTCGCTAGAATGTATGCATCATGATGGCAAAGATGTTCTGGCTCACTGGCCTTTAGAACAGTTCCTGACAGACAACATGTGTTCCTAAACCATCATTAAGCCAACTCCGTAATCCAATTTCTCCCTTTATCACCCTTTTCAATTGGGATCACGCACACTTTCTAAAAAAGTCCAAGGCTTTTTTCTCACTATGATCGAGGAATGTTAGAGCTAACATGCCATGCACTTTTTACTAGACACCAGGCACTGTGCTATCAGTTTCATTTGTATCTTTTCACTTAACCTTCACAATAATCCTCTAGGACAGATCAGTGCTTTTCTCTCCATTGCAAGGTAAGGAAACAGGAGGTTGTATAACTTGCAAAGTTCACACAAGTGAGGGAGCTGGAATTAAAATCTAATTCTGACTTAGAAAACAAAACAAAGTTAGGCCACTGCTTCCTTCAAGCGAGGGCACACACACCAGTTAGGGAAGTCCTCATCTACCTTTACTTATGCTCTGAAATTTCACCTGCTCCACGCATGCCACATCCTAATCCATGTTTTTTCACCCCCTCTTCTCACTTGCTTTCTAACGGCGGGAGGCCAGAGAGGGGAGCAATGGGGAGGGATCCAACTTCCAATTTTCGGCTGTCCCGGCGGAAGATTCAAATGGGAAGGAGAAGCGATCCAAGCGTTAGCAATTTAACTCTCAGCACTAAGAACGAAGTATCCCGGGGTCTTAACCAGCCACTGTCGGGTTTGGGGCACAAACTCACAATGCAGGGCCACTTCAGGGGCCACGGCACAAGGCACTCACCTTAACTGCCACCTCCGGAGCCGAGTCCACCGCCACGGCCAGAGAGGGTTTGGCTGAAGGCGATTTAGTCAAATGCATGAGGGAGTCGGCGGCTGGCAGCGGACACCGTCCGCCCTCACTGTCCGAGTCCGATTCGGACCCTGAACCCGAACCGTACGAAGCAGCCAGAGATGCAATCGCAGCCGACATGACGGCAACAGATCCTCGGAGGAGACCAGGCCCGGGCGGAAGCAGCAGCGGCTTCTAGGTCCTGCCAGGTTGCCATGAAACTCATGACTTCCTTGCCGATCGTTAACCAAAAACTTTAAACGGCCTATTAATCATATTAAAATAATTACAACAGAATAGAGAGTTTGGCCACACTTATATGGAGAAACAGAGAGAATTACAATAGCTTATAACTTCCAGGACCTACATGACTACGCTAAACACTACGAGTCCCGAAATACCTTGCGGCCGCAGGGCCCGCCTCTCCCGGCGTGCAGCGCGGCGGGAGGCCGCAGGGCACAATGGGAAATGTAGTCCGGACGAGGGGGCGGGGGGGGGCGGGCAGGCCTCTCTTTGATCCCGCCCCTGAAAGGATGGTTCATTCAATTGGCTATCATCTTCCCTCATTCCCTGGCCGAGCACCGATCTCGCCGTCCCCTTCCCCCAAACTGAGGATTGGGCAATACCATAAAGCCTCTGGAAAAGGGGGGGACGAGCGAGAGTCGTGTCCGCGGATGGGTGAGTGGGCGGAGGGCGAGTTTGCCTTCAGGGCTGCACCTGCACCCCGGGAGCTGGCGAGGAAGGAGAAGGTCACGGGGAAGACCTTGGCCGTCGGGGAGCTGCTCCGGGCGGGGAGGATGGGGGGCTAGGTGGCGCGGGTCCAGCGTCCCCCCCATCCCGGCTCGGGTCCCGGCGCCCAGTTGTGGAGCGTCGCGCGCGGGGAGGGGGCGGGCTGGGGGCGGCGGCGGCCGCGGTGTTGTTCGCTCGCGCGTCGAGCACACGGAGGGTCCGGCGAGCGGCGGGCGCCGCGGGCGGCGGTCCCCGTGGCCAGGTGGCTCGGCCGCTGACCGGAGCGGGGTCCACCCCGGAGCCCGACGCTCCTGGAGGCTCTGGGTGTCGTCCCGGGAGCCGAGGGGGACCGGCGGCCGCCGCCGAAGCATGAAGAAGGGGTAAGGCAAGAGCCCCCCAAGATTTCACGGTGAGCGCGAGTCTCTCAGGAATTGGCATTTTTGGGGGGCGGGGGAGAAGGGGCGCCGCGAGGGAACTCCTCCTCCCTGCCGGAGCGGAGAGAGGTGGCGGGTGGCGCTCCAGCCCCGCAGAGGTTACGGGGATGGGTGCGCCTCCCCCGCGACGGCCCCCACCCCCATTCGGGCTCCCCCGAGCCGCGGCCGCCCCCCCCACCCCCGCCGGCCGGACCTGGTGCCCAGGGACGCGGCGGCCGGCGGCGCGCGGGGTCTCCGCGGCGGGGACCCCCGCGAGGCTGCTCCGGGCTGAGGCTGCGGGGCTCACCTGAGGTGCCGCCGCCTGGGCGCCCCCGCGCTCCGCCGCGGGCCTCGGGGCCCCGGGCGGGCTGCAGCCCCGGCGGGGAGCCCCTGCTCGCGCCGTGCCCGAGGCTGGGGAGCTGGCTGGTGCCCCTGCGCGCGGGCGCCGAGCGGCTGGTCTGGAGACAGACGGCTCGAGCGAGTGCGGGAACCCCTTTCTTCGTCTGAAGAGGTGGCGAAGCGTGGCGGTCGCCTCGGATGCCTGTTCTTGGGGGGCTGCCTCGGGTGCAGTTAGGGAGGCAGGACTCGCCCATTGTGCCACCCAGATAATTATTCAACTCTGCAGCATCCATTGCATCTAGCCCGTTTTTCTTTTCCCCTGGCTGCAGCATGCCCCCTAGCTTCGCACCCCGACGCCTTCCCTTGCACTTGCGGATGATGAGCTGGAAGGATGATGAAAAGAAAGCTCGTCTGACCCGAGCGTTCGCTGCCTGTCTTAGAGCCGATTCATTAACTAATCCCCCGCTAGACTGGCTACTTTAGCACGACTCCGTCTAGCCTTTTCTTGCAAGGTGTGCCTTGGGTTTTCTTTTATTTTTTCCTTTGGTGTGAGAGTCATGCATTACCGGTCGTGTTTTGGTCCGGAGTTGATGTAACTGATTGGTTATTTAATCCATTTAAAGTTCTTCAATTGAATTCGTATGATCTTTCATTTTTAAAATTGCTGATAGCACTATGTCATAATTACAAATGCAGACTCAGTCTTTGAACTCGCAGAAGCAGTTTTTCCTTACGCTATCTGTAAGTTTCTGTTAAGAAAAGCATTTTTATTCATGTCAAACATTTGAATGAAGTACTTGATAGAAATGTCTTAAGTTTTCATTTGGAAAAGTTTTGTATTTTTCGGTAACAGGATGTTTGGTAATCATAACCTTCAGTTGAACGAAAGATAACACTTGATATTTAAGATGGGGTTTTCACTGCCATCGTGAACGTTCTCTAGTTTATCTAAATTTTATTTTTTATTCATTTTTCTTTGCAACATCATTGTTGCAGATTTTTACCTTGTATTTCTAACTTTTGTCTACAAGGATGGATAGCCTCCAATTTTGCATGAGCAACCTGAAAGATGAAAATATTTCCAGAAAATGGAAGAAGAAATTGTTGGTTATTTGATTGCTAATGTTAAAAACTGTTCACATCTCATTTAAAAATAAATAGTTCATTATCAAAAATAACTGTTTTTCTTTTTGTGATCCTCCCTTTTCAGCTTTTCTTGTTTAAGCTTATTGCCTAACCCTCTTGATAAAATGGAATTATTACACATAAGCATTGCAGAGGCTGTGTTTTAAGGCACAGTAATTGTTTTATGGCACTTGGAAGTGGCGCACGTATAATATAACTTGATGGTGTAGGATCAGTCGCTTGCTTAGGAAATGACCTTGCAATTTCCAAAATGGACACCTTTTGTGCCTTGGTTTCCTTATGTAAATGGAGATAATAACCATTTCACTAAATAAGATGCGTAAATTCATTAGTTTTCACGATATTTTAAAGAAAGCTTAGTATTTTAGCTGATGAACGATGAAAACATTTCAGTGTAAAGTACAAACAAATTTCTTTAGAATTGTCCATGGTATGTTAGAATGGTGGTTTTACATTGACTTTTCTTTGGAGACTTGTGGCTCTAAACTGAACAATGTTTCTCATTCATTAAGAGTTTTTAAAAATTGCAAAATTAGTAAGTATGATAGCTAGTACCTATACAGCTAGTATGATAGCTAGTACCTATGGAACCTAATTAGACATATAATTAATACTGATAAAGAAAGCTGTATGACTTTGTCATAAACAAATTGAATATTGAATTAAGTTTGTGAAAAATGAAATCTCCAGAAAAACATGAAAGGCTTTTTTTAATTGAAAAATTTGTAGATGACAGGATCCAGAATGCCTAGTTTTGATTTGCAAGGTATAGTATGGAGCTTCTTCATTATTCAGGTTTCTATGTAATCATATAATGTTGTATGATGCTGTATTTATACATTTTGCTTTATTTTTTGAATAATTTAAGATTTCCAAGTGCTTGATTTTCATTATCACAGTAGATAGGCACTTTTGATTTCGTATTGGAGGATTAACGCTGTGATTTTCCCATAGCAGAAGCTACTGCTAAAATATTAATATTAGAACTTTTACCAAAGCAGTGCATTTAGTTAACTTCATAGGGAAACCTCATATAAGTAAGACTATTCAAATGTTTTTTAATTGCTATTGTAGTTTCTTTTCTTAAGAATTAATTTGATTACATTTTAAACGTGTTCCTGAGTGACCAACTAAAATTCATGTTAGTATCACTTGGGTAGATACACTTAACTCAAGGATTTTTCTAAGCTTGTTGAGGACAGGAACTGACATGATGCTACTGTCATCATAAAATCACTGCGTTAATCCTCCAATAGGAAATCAAAAGTGCCTATCTACTGTGATAATGAAAATCAAGCACTTGGAAATCTTAAATTTGAAGATGCTAGCTAGCATAGTGTTTATTAAATAGTAGGAGCTCATTTTTTTTTTGTTGTTGGATAAATAGAATGAATGGGTATAGAATAGCCATTGACAATATTTTATATAGACATTTTAAAAAAATGATTTATCAAACAAATCTCGATTCATGAAATACTACTTTATCCCAGGAGAGAAAAGAAAAAAATATATTTGGAGGTTCTTTAAACTTCATTTACCCATTCAGATATAATTCCTTTCTGACATCTTTTTTAGCTAGCAGTAGATTCTATATATTGTCAAACTTTCATTTATGAAATAATTTTCTTTTAAAGCTCACTTACTGTATATGTACATTAAGGGTTTTTTGTTTTTGTTTTTACTAAGTTAGGCGAGTGTAGAAAAATGTTTGACTTTTTTTTACATCAACTGTCAGTGAAATACTAATAAAAATTTGTATGTAAATTATATCCCGTGTAAATGTGCCTGAATACCTAACTTTAAAAATAAATGATACCTTTTTATAAAATGAAGACTCTTGTGTTTTTGGTTTATCGCATTCAGTTTATAATCTTGATTCTATGTGTTGGTAGTTCCTAATGTAAGATGAGATTGATTGTATCAGTACTTTAAAACTTACAAAATGGGGGCCTCCCTGGTGGTACAGGCAGTTGAGCGCAGCACTCTGAAGCTGTCCGCAGCCTCTGCAGTGCTGGTTTGATCCCCGCTGGCTGTGGAGATACCCACATAGTGCGGCAGACCTCTCTTATCTCGCCCGCTGCTCCCCTCAGTAGTGTATTTCGTCAGGCTGCCTGTTCTGTTCCCTGCTCTGTCTCTGGTGAAGCCTCTCACCCTCCTGCACATCTGGCCTGTATCCCGGTGCTTGTATAAATAAATAAATCTTAAAAAAAAAAACAAAAAAAACCTTACAAAATGTTTTAAAACTTGGAACTTATTTTTCTCGGGCACAGTATGCTTAGTCGTCGTATTTGCAGGCAATCTACCAAATTTAACCCATAAAATAACTGAATTATAGGGTTATGCTTATAATATCAGAGAATTATGAAATTATATTAGTAGTTAATATAAATCTTATATTAAAAATACCTAAGGTTTTGAGTACAATTATCTTCCTATAGGAAAATCAATTTAGAATCTGACTTGCAATGCTTGGAATGCATTTCTCTTGTGTCAGACGTGACAACATTATAAGCAATTTGTCCTCTGACACTGTACATAAAGAAAGAGGAGGCCCTTCCTCAGCTCAGTGAGTTGTGCTCTTTATATCATCTGGGGCAAGTGGTGAGAGAATGAAGAAATTAGAACTGGGGCTCCTATGTGATGTTTAGTAAGTCATTTTACCATTCATGGTCTTTGCTTTTATTATTTATAAAACAAGAAGGTTGAAATAGCTGACCGCTGATGTTCCTTTCAGTTACAAACAAAATTCAAAGGTACTTCAAGACAGTGTAACACCC